TTAAAATACTTTAACAGTTTAAAACTCCATATATATTCGTTAAACTTTAAATTAACTTTTAAATTATTTTTAAACCGTGGTTTTTTCTCGGTGATATCAGTGACTATTATGCTCACATTTTGAATTACGCTATGCTAATGGCTTCACCTAAGCTCACCTGACGTCGCAGAAATTTAAGCGCTTAACTTCGCATTTTTTACAAAAACCGCAATTTCCTTTCCGAGTATATTTGAAGCGCTTCGCTAGGGCGCTTTTGTTAATTAGCGCTTGTACGCCGAGGTATTTTTTTTTTTTAATCCTACATCGGTTTCACTGTTTAACTTTTGTACAAGCAATCAGTTGATATGTGTCCTATCCAACTGAATATTATTTTTACCCGGAGGTGGATGACTCACTTAGAATTCATATTACTAGATGAGGCGTTTAAATTTTAACAACGGTGTTGGTCCATTCATGTCACAATACATCATTAAATCTCGTTATAAGTGCCTTTAGACATTGCAAAAAAATTTTCTCGTGTGTAAAATATGTTTAAGTTAATGATAACATTGTTACATACGCAATATGAAATGACATTATTAGCATTATATAAAATGCCTATTGTTCTATATATTTATTCTTATTAAAAATGTTAACAGTATCGATGGCTGGCTGTCCCAAAAGTTAAATATATTTATTAGTAAATAATATATTACTTTATTAATATAATTTATCAGTATTTATATAAATCTTCTTTCAAGTAATAAATCTGAATTGTTTATCACGAACTCGGGTGCGCGACATGGTTCCTTGACCCACTTGTGTGATTATCTGCAATTGACAATGCCTTTAGATAGCTTGGGCTGTAGATACATAATGTATTTCATTCCTAATATTACATAGTGGCTTAAAGAAATGCGTTACGTCAATATCACCAGTAGCGTAGCTTGGTGAAGAGCTCCGATACCTAGAACGATAGATTTATGAAGGCCAATCGAAGTACCGGCCGTATGCGATTCGAATTTCGGAAGGTATTTCTTTTATTATTGAAAAAAAAAACGGTACAAACCTCCATTTTATTACAGGAAATCATCAGTCAATTTTATTTGCCTTACGGTCATTGTGGTAAGTTACAGTCTGGAGTCTTAGTGCTAGAATGTCAAAACAACGTAATCCCATTATACCTGTAATTTGGGTAAAGATACCTAAAACATTTTTATGAACACAACGGACGACAATATTCATGAAAATTAAATAGCTGCCCCACAAAGGTTGACTTCAGCTTAACAATTAATCATAAAGTTGACAATAGACTACCCCGAAGTTGACATTGCGTACACCCTAAAGTCGTTTGATTAAATATTTTATGGAAGCAACAGTGCCCATAGATCGAGCCAAAAGCTATTCGTATGTTATCAAGCGTGTTTTATTTCTATCACATGTATAATTGAATCAAAATATCTTGGTCTGGATGGTCGCCAGCCGAAAGCAACAGATGCTAACGTTTGGATGCACTAAAGAGACTAGCGTCTCTCGATAACGGCTTTTGGCATACCCTAATGGCTGTGTATTGTTTGGTTTAATCGCCTTTAAGATGCCGGATTTGCACAACGAGGTATCTATTATAAAGATGGCGTAACATGGTATAGATATAACTATGACAAGCTATTTTTGACGCAAAATCTCTTCTCTCGTCTATCTTCGAGTCGCGAATTACCGACCTAAGATGACAGCCCTAAAGTTTAAGCACGTTTCAGTTTCAATCTATGGATTCATCACCAAGGCCATTTTATGTAATTTATTACTCTGCCATATTTACATTGTTAGATTAAAATTATTAAGCTCTGTAAATTATATCATTGTATATTAAATTATATATAAACGAGGTTCTACTTCTAATGGCCGAACCTGAATATTATAGATTCATATGAGAACCTAAGTTTACCTTTTTTATAATAGAGGGGAACAGACTAGATTAGGGTTCACTTAATGAAGATAGATACACTGTACCCACATTTAAATTAAACACTTAACGGTTGAAAACGCGATGTTACCCTCGTGACCACGGCTGCAGCAGAGCATCCGAAGTATCGAGCCGTAGTTAAAATATATTGTAAATAAGTTAACTAATACATTTCGCGTTTTAAACCGCTGTTTTATTTGAATACCTAAGCTATACAACATCTCAAAACGATGCGCTGCCAGCTTATTTGGGATTTTAATATACGCGAAATTAAACTTCACGGCTTTTAAATAAAACACTTTAACGGTTTAAAACGCCATATATTGGTTAAACTGATTTGAAAATTATTTTTAACTTCGGCCCGACGTTTCGGATGCTTTGCAGCAGCCGTGGTCATGAGGGTAACATCGCGTTTTCAACCGTTAAGTGACCACGGGGACTCGCGTAAACTATAGACAGTATTCACGGCTTTTTCTTCTGTCGTCGGTGGGCGTGAACGAGACGGACATTTTCGATATTCCTACTACCCATTTAATTTTCAGATTTCCAAACGAAGTATAGCATGCTTAAAAATTATATAACAAATTACAAAATTAGGTAGGTTAGTTACTTCGGTGTGAAATAAAAAACCAGGTTACAAAACAACATTTACTTAGTATTCATTAATCTTGAATAACAAAATACAATGTAGTCACGACCTAGTTTCATTTACTTTCAAACAAAATCTATATATGTATTTATATAGGCTATTGGTGATGTTAGAATAAGGGCTAACACTCCAAAACAGGCCTTACTTATAAAAATATCAGATTATTGTACACGAAACGCATTATTAATAGTACTAAACTGTTACAATTAGCATTTACAAGTGAAATAATTAGTTATTTTTAAATTACTTTTAACTATAGCTTAGTTTTAATTGAATTTACCAGCCCTGTGGCCCAATATTTAAACAAATTATCAAGGGTTGTGTCAAATGCGATAAGTATTTTCAAAACATTGACATATTTTCGGTTGTATGTGTGTGAAATCCCGTTTCCCCTCGTGGGGCTTGGGGCAAACACATTTCTGTGTCCGTTTCACTGATCGGTTTTATTTACAGGCAAAAAGTGGATCAGACCAAACGAAACAATTAACTGTTACCCCGGGATTCGAACACAGGACCCCTCGCGCTTAACGCAATCCTAGGCAACACGTTTAACCATTTACACGATACAGAGGCGGTCATATTTTCGGTTGGGCAGGGCACAGCGTCTGATCAAGTTAACTGTAAAAAAACTATCAGTAGCTCGGGAATATGTTTGCCTCATGCCCCACGAAAGGAAATTGTGTTTCACTAATATTTTAAACTGAATTCTGAAACTTGTATTTTACCGACATTTGGTGTTTAGAACAAATATTTAAATAACCATATTTTTATAAGTACGCCATTATTTGATAACGCATACAAATTTAAAGATTAACAATGTCCAAGTTTTATTATGGTACAGATAATTACTAAAAGGTATCACAGGACAATGCGGACAAATGTTTTTAATTTTTTTTTTATACCGACTTATAACGTATACATCTTAAACTGAGCCATTTATATTATAACTATGCAATTCGTTTAATAAAATAAAAAATCAAATGATACACATATGCATTACAGATAATGTGAAAACATAATCTTCAAAATAATTATTTTTAATGAACACATACTGAAGAAAACATAATGAAGAATATCTTTTTTTCTTAAAAAGCGCCACTAAGCCTATTAACTTTTCAGTTTTTTTTACATCTATACAATGGTATTAATACATTTATTATCGCAACTAAATTATAATATTTTTTTAATGATCGCTGCAAATGAAAAAATAAGTCGTAATTTGTTTTTAATCTATATTGCGTGTGAAAAGGCAAGATATTCTATGTATAAGAGACAATATATTACGATAGTAGAGGAACTATTTAACATATCTTTTACCATAAAATGAAGGACTACGAGTACATGTTTTCGTTAAGTGATAAGACAAATTGTTTTCAGCAATAAAATATGACACTGAAACGGTTTAAAACGCGAACAATAGTGTACTAGGTTTTTTTTACTATGACGCCTGTAGCCAATAACTACTGTAAAGCACCCAAAACGTCAGTGTCCATTAACTAATTTAGCTCGCATTTTTAACCGTCAAAAAGTGGTTTAAACAAAAGATCTTCATGGTACATTTAAGTGACTGAGTATTTTCTTTTAATAAAACACTTTAAACGGGAAATATTTTAGAGTTAATCTTATTTACAAATAGCCATAGTAAACATAATGTGTAAATAAGTAATACATTTTCAGTTTTAAACCGTTACAAGCGTTTTTTTAAACTAAAGACAGATTTTGTTACTTTTCTTAAATTGACAAAAATTTATTGCAAAGTCTGAAAATTAAATTATTTATATATTTTTTTTATTTCTTATATTTAGTAATAAAAAATAAGTTTATAGAAATAAATCTATAATATGTACACACCTCCATGTTATACTAAGCTATTTTTATTCCAAATATGGTACTAATACCACTTCAACCGCATTATTTTCTAACAAAAACTTTGAATTTAGTTCTATTGCAAGCCAAGGCTGAATAGATTTCATTATAATATAAAGTTTTTAAATTTTGCTGACTGTCTAGGAAGCAACATCATGAAATTCTATATTGACGAGGCATTAATATTGATAATATTCCTTGAACCGTTGCTAGGCAACGGGGATGGACATTATTGTATTGATTTTAATTACCAATTTATATTTGGGGCCTAGAAATATAGTACTTGCATACTATATTTCTGGGCCCTGCTTGACTAAACCTTTTTTTTTGTTTTTGCCATGCGAATCGAACCCGTAAACTCTCAAGTCATAAAGTCGGTCAAACATTAATTAAACAAGGCATTTAATAGAAAAATAATCGAATTGTTACTCACAAAACGAAACATAGGAGTATAATATCTTCTCTAATACGCGGTTATTTTTACAATTATTCAATTAATCCTTCTTTAAAACCAATACATTTTAGCTGTTGAATGTATGAAAATTAATAGTCCAACGCCCATTCATTTTCTTGCAAAAAGGCGTCGACTACCTCCTTCATGGTGAAGTTAGGAATCAGCTGATCCGCTGTCAACTTTACGCGGGTCACCGGATCAAAATGGCCGACTCGCTGAAAATTAAACAAGAATATCATTGATTATTTCTGATCAAAAAAGATTAATTCTTTTTTTTAATTTAAAATATTTTTGTTATACTTAAAAATGTCTATAGTATTGTAACATAGTGTAACGCTACGTTACAGCGTGATAGTTCGCTTTCTGTATTAATTATAACTTTTTTAATAACAGACAATTATAGGGTTCTCTTGATGGAAGTGAAATAACCCTACCTTTGAAATAAGATCTACCTATTTTTACCTTTGGACGATGTCGAACTATTTAAGATCGACAATTTGGACAATCGGAAACTATTTTACTATCAACTATAAAGAAGAGGTTCTCTCCGTTATATGTTGGGTGTTTGCTAAGCTTGGCAGGCCAAGTTAAGGTTAGCCAGATGAGATTATTTATAAATCCAAAATGAAATATAAAAAGTATCCAGTATTTACCTCAAGATGTTCTTCAATATCCTTTCGTTCATAAGTAATGCCACTTGGTGTGATTACCGGTTCATTTAATATTTCAAAGCTGATTTTACCACACAGGTAATCAGGAACATCACGCTTCTAAAAATAATTCGATTCAAAATAATATGCTTTTGGACCTTTTATTAGTAAAAAGTTGCAGTTGCAAAATATAAAATGTCAAAAATACTAATAATAATATAATAAATATATTGTCTTTGTTGAATAGATCGTTTGCGATATATGTAATCGTTATTGGTTTCAAAACAAGACAAAATGATGATTTTATTTTTATAACAAAGGAGGACAGGGAAGTACGAGTTCCACTTGGTCGTAGGGGAAATATTAACTCTACACATAATTAACTCTCTAAAGAAATATCATTGTTTCATAGTAGAATTGCATAAGACGTTTAATGACATGCATATTCATGTTTTTCGTATATGTTGTTGGTTTCCAAATCCTATTCAAAAGTAATTCAAGCAGCGAAAATGAAGTTATTAAGAAATCTTACCCTGCGACGTTCGTCGATTTTAGAAAAGAGATTATTTAACTCGCTACTGTAGTTATTCTGTAAAAATAAACATCTTTATACTATTTATGTAAACTAAACCAATTAGTTTGCTACATTGCGTGTATTTTATACTGTTTTTCTTACGATATAGTGCCTCTAATGAATTAAGTATACTAGCGATAGTGACGGTAGCGTATTGACGCAAAAACGCGTCACATAATAAGATTAGTCCTTATTATGGGGTGGCCTGTTGAGTTGAAGATATATCTAGAAATAACTTCTTATAAGTTACTCAGATTTTTGTATTTATATTACGTAAAATAATTACTATTCACTCATATTTTAACACTCATCATTTCTTATCTCAATGCAATCAAAAATTTAACAAAACTTCATTACAATAAAGTTAATTCCCTGCGATGTGTAAAGGTGGATTTCGTTCATTTTAAAATCTTTACTTAATATTATGGATACTTACACATTCTTCTTCAGCCTTTGATATTTTTGTGTTAGCTTCTTCTTCATTTGAATTGTCTACTTTGATTGATTCTATTCTACGCTGTAAGTCCTCATTTATTAATCTGTAAAAGTTTATTATTTTAGAACTCCTTGACAATACCATACTTCTTCCTTTGTTTTTCTAATTAGAATAACAATATATGCAGAAATTGAATTATTACCTATTCAAGTATGTTTGAAGTTCAATTTCCTGAGATATCCTTTTTTCCTCTTGAACATTCCATCTCTTTTTTCTAGCTATACGTATCTGAGCTGCTATGTCATCACCGAAGTTTAATTTTTGTTCTCTTGCTAAATCACTAGCTGAAACATATAAACATCATTGACTAATTGTGACTAATTATCTAGAATTATATGGATGTAATTCTAGATAATAAGTCCTAAATATATTGTTAAATCTACTAAGAGCATATTAATATATCTAAAAAAAGGTCACCTCTATGCAAATGCTTTATAGCTTCGTCATAGCATTCAAGTTCTACAAGTGCCTGTCCTAAGAAAAAATGTCCCTTCACTTGATTACTATCTATGTCTAAAGCTCGTCGACAATCTTGGCAAGTAGACTCCCATCTCTTCATCTTCAAATGACATAGTGCACGGTTAGTAAAATATGTAGCAACTGATGGATTTTTTATCTGAAAGAATAATTTGAAAAAATGTTTGTAAATTTAATTTGGGTGAAATGGTCAGCTATGTGAGTCCATGTTCCTAAGACTTGACTACAGGTCACAAACAGAATAAAAAACTGCAAACTACATAAAACTTATTTATTAGGAAAGGATTTACTCTACATGGACCTAATTCTTAAAATAGAATTAAGAGTTTTACAGTTGTACAATTTTTTGAACTTGAAGGTAAAAATCTCATTTGATTCTGTTTAGTATATGTTTGCTGGTGTTATTGTTAAAATACTTCCCAGTTCGTAAAATCTAGTAAATGAAATTGTGTTTCCTCTTATTATAATGAGATTGTTTTTACTTACGATTGCTTTTGTGTAGCAGTTCATAGCATCTTCGAAACGTCGTAAGCTAAACAGTCTGTTGCCCTGTTCCTTGAGTTCTTTGTCGGTCAAATTTGCAGTGGAATACATATGCTTACTCATTTTTAATAGTTATTCTAATCTAACACTAATATCAAATTAAATCATGAATTTCATTATAAACTTATTTCCTGATACATAAACTTTCTCTACGCCTTAAACTAAATGAAATGTATTAGGCACACAAGAGGACTGTCGACGACTTGTTTTTACTTTTCCTTCTAGAAATTAGATTTAACTTATTTTACGATTACTCAGAAAATATCTTCAAACGCCATCAAAATCAAATAATGCAACAAACGTCACTGTCAATATGTCATCTGTCACGAGACTGACATCGATATTCAACCCATAGTATTGCAGAAGCAAAGTATAAAAATTAACATAAAAAACGTTTTGATTGAATATTTTATTGTACCATTTATAAATAACTAATATAACTAGTTATTTATAAATGGTACATGCCAAGTTAATTATATTATGAACTTCTTTTAGTCTTACTTTCATTAAATAAATATTGAGATGACATAAATGTTGAGTATAATTTTTGTAACGTATAAAAGTCGATTGTCATTTAACTGCTTTTTAGGTAATACTTGCCTTTAGTACTACGCTAGTATTCATTTAACTGTATAATACTTTTTTCTCTACTTATTCTTCTATGTTTATTTTTTATTATATCCTAAAATAAAATGCTTTCTGTTGACTTTGTTTCTGTATATTATATTTATTTAGTTTGCTATTAAATCTATTAACAACGATTACTTGGCTTCATAGAAAACTGACAAATAGCTAGGTATTTTGGTAACTGGATATAGGTGGGAAAGATCCTTGTTCCAATGGTTGCATCGCTTATTTTTAACCGCTTTTGTATTAATCCTGTAAAAAATTTAGTGTTCAATATTATAGCACACTTCTATGAGACTTTCATACTGGTAGGAAAAAATACTTACTTCAACGTGGGGTCCATTAAAAGAGGATACTCTAACGGTATTTTAAACTTTTGAACCATGAGTGGGCAAGGAAAATTTAATTCCAATGGCAAGATGCCTTCATTTTCTTGCTTGTCCTAAATTGTTTAATAGCAGTAATAACTTGATATACATGAGAGATAAAAAATATTAATTATTTACTTTGAAAACATATTATAAAAATTGTTGTCTATCCTAAAACTAACGTCAGAGTTTCCTTCGTTAAGTATTTTTTGTAGCTTCAGAACGTTTCGACACCATTTCCAAATATTTTCATCCGTAGCTCCGCGTTGCTCCAGCCTTTTATTCAAGTCTGACATTTTTTTTAAAGGCTTGAACGTCTGCGTAAAAAAGTATTTTTTTAGTTGTTGTTTAAGTTTATCGAGTTGAAAAATGTATCTATTTTTAACGGTGGTACCGTTGAAAAATAGATACATTTTGAAAACATTAATATTTTTCACATTTATTGCACATGAAGGCACTATATAATTTAAAAATCGAAAATAAATTGAAAAAATTTTTCGACTCGGGCAGGACTTGAACCGGCATCGTCAGCTTTCCGTGCTGTTGCTCTACCAATTGAGCTACCGAGTCCTACACCTCATCGTCGAATTTTTTCAACTTATTGATACATGCACCTCTCGCGCAATGTAATTTCTACCTTAACACTTGCGTATTAAGGCTCAATGTCTTATGCTTTGCAGCTTAAGAAATCATTGAAGATGAAATTACAAAGTTATAACGTTTTGAAAACATTAATATTTTTCATATGTTATTGCACATGAAGGCACTATATAATTTAAAAATCGAAAATAAATTGAAAAAATTTTTCGACTCGGGCAGGACTTGAACCGGCATCGTCAGCTTTCCGTGCTGTTGCTCTACCAATTGAGCTACCGAGTCCTACACCTCATCGTCGAATTTTTTCAACTTATTGATACATGCACCTCTCGCGCAATGTAATTTCTACCTTAACACTTGCGTATTAAGGCTCAATGTCTTATGCTTTGCAGCTTAAGAAATCATTGAAGATGAAATTACAAAGTTATAACGTTTTGAAAACATTAATATTTTTCACATGTTATTGCACATGAAGGCACTATATAATTTAAAAATCGAAAATAAATTGAAAAAATTTTTTAATTTAATTTAATGTTTTCAAAACGTTATAACTTTGTAATTTCATCTTCAATGATTTCTTAAGCTGCAAAGCATAAGACATTGAGCCTTAATACGCAAGTGTTAAGGTAGAAATTACATTGCGCGAGAGGTGCATGTATCAATAAGTTGAAAAAATTCGACGATGAGGTGTAGGACTCGGTAACTCAATTGGTAGAGCAACAGCACGGAAAGCTGACGATGCCGGTTCAAGTCCTGCCCGAGTCGAAAAAAAAAAAAAAAAAAAAAAAAATTTTTTCAATTTATTTTCGATTTTTAAATTATATAGTGCCTTCATGTGCAATAACATGTGAAAAATATTAATGTTTTCAAAACGTTATAACTTTGTAATTTCATCTTCAATGATTTCTTAAGCTGCAAAGCATAAGACATTGAGCCTTAATACGCAAGTGTTAAGGTAGAAATTACATTGCGCGAGAGGTGCATGTATCAATAAGTTGAAAAAATTCGACGATGAGGTGTAGGACTCGGTAGCTCAATTGGTAGAGCAACAGCACGGAAAGCTGACGATGCCGGTTCAAGTCCTGCCCGAGTCGAAAAAATTTTTTCAATTTATTTTCGATTTTTAAATTATATAGTGCCTTCATGTGCAATAACATGTGAAAAATATTAATGTTTTCAAAACGTTATAACTTTGTAATTTCATCTTCAATGATTTCTTAAGCTGCAAAGCATAAGACATTGAGCCTTAATACGCAAGTGTTAAGGTAGAAATTACATTGCGCGAGAGGTGCATGTATCAATAAGTTGAAAAAATTCGACGATGAGGTGTAGGACTCGGTAGCTCAATTGGTAGAGCAACAGCACGGAAAGCTGACGATGCCGGTTCAAGTCCTGCCCGAGTCGAAAAATTTTTTCAATTTATTTTCGATTTTTAAATTAAATAGATACATTTTTCAACTAAAACTACAATACGCAGAAAATGTCTTTAAGTGTCTAATTTTGTGTACTTACACAATAATTTTTTATTATTGAGAAAAGATTGTTCCAAAGATTCAAATCTAAGACCGACCGAATTTGAAAGTGTTAATTCTTTTTTTCCAGCTACTTTTCTATGACTTTCGTAATGCGTAAAATATAACGAATGGATAGCCGATTTGGATAATTTAAAAAGTGATGCATCCGAATTTAAAAGTAATATATAAACTATCCATAAAGTATTCTATTTTGCGTATTATTAAGTCTATTTTTGGTCGGTATTTCTAACGGCAATGACAATAACAAATCGTTACAGCCAGCTTATATAATTATTGATGTAATAAGTCATGTGAACTAGCGTGATTCTTTGAACGGTAAAGCGCGTCGCACAATATTTGCGTGTTGGACATCGTAGGCGTAAAATAAATCCACTTACACTTGACACGGGTTTCCTCACTTTCACTCTATTCCAACCAAATGACGGAAGTGATTTTGTAACAACACTTGTTGGCTTCGTGTATGAAGTTAAGGCTGACATCCATTCAGCTTCGGAGTCGGACTTCGCCACACCTACATCGTTATTGTGTCGCTGAATAATGTCCTTTACCCAAAAAACAAATAAAATGCAACATAAGTAGTTTAGATAGGGTCCTTGATGAAAAGAAAAATACAATACATTATACCAATGGACAAATTAAGCTTTTATGCCGTCGTTCTCAGTTATGATTACTAACTTAGGGACGGTATTGGCTAAAACTGTGTTGTACCTATGTCTAAAGCCCTCTCAAATGAGAGGTGAGACTTAGGCCCAGCAGGGGATTCAGATGTTGATTCGAAGAAGCTCCTATGTACTATGTAAAGGGCAGGTTAATCGGTCACCATTTTATCGTATATTTTAATTTTTTGCAAGACTATTCAATATATTATAAAAGTAATTAATTTTACTGAGTTTGAACATTTTTACTACAATAATTGTGCCTCTTACTCCGACCTTATAAAAAATAACACTCACTCGCAACTTCTCTAGATCCATGTTGATCTTTTGTCTAGCCAGCAATTCCAGTTTTATCTCATCGATAAGAAAAGCCCAATACTTATTAACTCGGGACAAGTCACCGTATTGCGTTTGTGGGACATAAAGAAGGATTCTCTTGGCTATTACCGATGGTAAGAGCTGCAACTGTAAAGAAATAGATAAACAATATTAACAATAATTAAATGTGTTTATTTATTTCTTAACTATGTTACAAAAAATCCAATGTACGACATGGAATGCAATGCAGGGGAAAACATGATTCATTTAATCTGTAGGTTACACTAGTGACGGTATCCAATAATTTATTTGCTTTGAGCAGTATTATTTCTGGTAAATCTATTATCTAACTATACTATATAAAGCCAAAGAATTTGTTTGTTTGTTTGAACGCGCTAATCTCAGAAACTTTGGTTCGAATTAAAACTATTGGTTCGTGTTGTATTGATATATTGTGTTGGTTAGAGAATTTATCGAGGAAGGCTAATGCTATAACATTGCGGTGCGACGTATAGAAGCGAAGAAGCAGCACAAATTGTGAAAAAAACGGGAAAAATTATTCATCATCTAAAAAATATGTATAAGAGAATGATTCATATTTTAATTATATAAATAAAATGTCCGCGACATTATATGTCTATCTTTAAGTCGTTTAAGATTAACTTGCAAGAACGACGTGACGCGGGATGTCGTGTAGGTTTGCAAAAATACATTTTCATGGCCAAAATAACTATTCTACTCTGACACAGCTAGTTACAAATATAAAAATTACAGTAGCATTAAGTAACAATTCTATATCTTACAAAATCTACAGTTTCCATATTGTCTGGCTTATATCTATTAACTTTCCAGATAGTTGTTTTACTTTCATCTTTGTGAGTGACTTCGATTTCTTCTAATTTCAAAGCATCGCGAATTGTCTTGACAGTAGTATTCCATGATGCTAACGCTATATCCAACTTAAAAAATAAAGATTAGGGCTGAATAAATAACATACACTATAGAGATGGAAAGGACCTCACGAGGCCTGTAAAGTAACGTTAAAGCCACAACTTCAAATGGAGCAAAATCTTAAAACAACGAAAGGGCGCAGTGTGGTCATTTTCGTTAAATTACTATTGTATTCTTCTAATTATTTGATCCGACCCGGTCAATTTCACGAAATACCAACTACGACAGAATACATGGCGCTACCAATGCAGTGTCTACTTTGACATTAGAGACACCTTCCATCTTAGTTATGTGACCATGACTGCTGCAAAGCATCCAAAACGTCGGGCCATAGTTGAAATAATTTTCATATAACTAATATATTTTGCGTTTTAAACGGTTACGCGTTTTATTTCGACGTGTACTAATCGCGTAAACTACAAACAGTATTGATGACGGAAGATCATAATTAACATATTATTGATAGCTTGTATCCTGAAAAAGCCGTATTAAGAGGCGTGCTAGTACATATATAAAAGGCTTTTAGCTGCACTTTATATCAAGAAGAAAAATTGTACTTCTCTTTGAGCTTGTCCCGGCAATGGAGCTTGTTTAGTAGACTCTTGGTTTTGAGTAATAGAAGTCTTTCCACGGGGAGTTTCTTTTTTTGGCTTAAAAACAGATTTAGATTAGACCTAAACAAAATATTAACGGTTTAAAATGCGAAATGTATTAGTTAACTTATTTCCAATTTAGGGGGTCAGTCCACCCGAGATCAATGCTGCTGCAAAGCACCCGACACGTCACGACGACACTACGGGCCGTAGTTAAAATAAATTGCAAATAAGTTAATTAAAATATTTCGCGTTTAAACGTTAAAATTGTTTTATTTTAATGTGTACTACTCAGGTAAACCATAAACCATACTTTAGATGATTTTTTTGTTTTTTTTTTTTATATTAATTTGAGGTTGTAACTGTGTATGATATTACATTATGATAATAGGTATGGAACAATGCAGGAAGCCCTACTAAAAACCTTTTAACATGTTAAGAACTTACTTGTTCAACCGCAACGGGCTTAGCTTTTTCCGCTTCATTGACAACGTTACATTCTAAAATCTCCTCTAATTGTTGTTCTCGATGTTTGTTGTATATTTTTTTGGCCATCCAAAGTAATTCCCACATAATAGGACCTCCAGATACAGTAAGAAGTTCTGATATGACTAACGCCTGCTGGTCCTAATATAAACGAACAATTTTAAACATTATTTTTTGAACGATTTTAAAAAAATGTCAAGTCACTGTGCCCACTACAAACACCGTAAGTAATGTGTATATAAAATACTTGTATATAATAAATAATATAAGTTTTGTGATGAGTAAATTATAATGTATTATATAAATATAGTATAATAGTAAATATTCCAGAAATCCTAACATGCAAATGAGTGTAATGTGTATTCTTAAGGTATAACACAAGAAATACTGTCTGTAGTTTACGCAAGTAGTATTGATTTAAACAAAGCACTTTAACGGTTTAAAACGCGATATATATTAGTTACTAACTAATTTGAAAATTATTTTTAACTGCGGCCTGACGTTTCGGATGCTTTGCAGCAGTCGTGGCCACGGGGAGACTACAAAATTTAATACAATATGTCTTGAGAAAATAATTTATAACAATATTATTTATATTAATATACTTATATACGAATTACAAAACTCACAGGTTCAAGTTTTGAAAACCAATTGCGATCGTTTGTGATTGCTTCTTGTACCATCGATTCTGGCAAAGCCGTTCTGTTGTTGTCCATTGGGACTTGATCGTAACTGCTCCAAATTGGTTTCCTAAAATACACGTAGATTAAAATTTATGGTTAAAACACTTTTAAACTAACTCTCTAAACAAAGTAAAAACTGCTATGTTATACAGCCCTCCGTCACCCTCCGTCTTCAGTCTCCCCCGTGACCACAACTGCTGCAAAGTATCCGAAACATCGGGCCGTAGTTAAAATAAGTTAACTAATACATTAAGCGTTAAAAGTGTTTTATTTAAATATGTACTACTCGCGTAAACAACAAACAGTTAACTTTTGGGCATTAAATAAACATATTAACTGTCTGCGCTTGGACCCATCAGGCAACGCAATTCCGGACTGCTACCTATTAGATATTTTTCAAATACAATACTAAGATTACGCAGTAGCTGAGACTCGAACCCGGAAAGTGATCTACAGCACTTCAGAAATCAATGAATATTTACTCGCAAAATGAGGATACCGCATCCTTAGGTCTACAATTCCAAATGGATTTTAACAGCAACGATAGCGTCCAAACACTTCTTATGTCATCAAGGAGTAGCAAGAGAAACTTTCGCTTATTCTTCCAGGACACCCTCATGAACCAGAATTTTGTGAGAAGCAAGTGCTTACTGAACTCGATAGATTCGTCACAATAGTCCTTTTTACCTGCATTGGAACAAATAATAAGTAATAACATGTTAACTTACGTCATGACTTGAGCCTACGACCAAACGTGTTTTTTTACGTCAGACAAGCAAGGGGTTCAGTTTGTAGGAGTGGAAATACCCCATATAACATTTCTACAACAAGCGCTGTCGTCCTATTTTGGCTTTGGATATTCGGAAATCCACGGACTAAAACCGAAAGCATTAAATTCGTTCGTCTACAGATGTAGACGGTTGTTCTTAACCCGAACGAAATTTCGACATACTTACTAACCATTTAATATCAAATTTCCAGATGAGGACCAATATGTTTCAGAAAAATTATAAATCGATTAGAAACATTTTGAATTTGATAGGAATCGAAGCCATGACCCGTCGATTTGTAGCCAATACACCAACGAGCCGTCAAAACGTGTACCCTACTAATTGCAACAACTGAATAGTTGTCATGGATTTTAAACTCCCCTATTATATGCAATTTTTTAGTGTTAATAAGTGGTAATAAAGATGTATTGTTCTAAATAATGGTAATATTTAGAACAATATATCTTTTTAATGGTTTCATATAAAACCTCTCCTATGCATTCATACATACATACTATATGTATATATGAAGGGTGTGCACTGTGCTTGTGAAGAGAAAGTTTGCCGACAGTATGAGAACATGAATTAGTTTTGCTTTCCTCTGACATATAATGTTTCTAAATTGCTTCGTAGTACCTCCGATACAGCATCGTGGTCATACAAGCTACCGTTATAATATAGAAAAATTCTTATGTTACATGGAAAACAACATTTAGAACACCTGTATGCAATAAAGTTACAATAACAGGTGTTTAAATTAAATAATTATGCTAATAGGTAACTGTAACATAAAAATGCAAAAATAATTGCAGCTACATATGAATGTTCCATACTAGACAATTTGGTTCTCATGGAACTCTTACCACAAATCATTTCAGCCAATATCAAATCGTCTATTAAATGGACTTGCTTCGAAACATCTGCAAATGAAGTCATTTTTAAAAACTTCTCGTATGTTGTTTATATTTAAATTGTTAAAATACTTTCAAAACATAAATAAGATCAGTGTCAAGCTTGACAGACGTAACTGAAGTTTTGAAAAAGGATAAAATAGAATCGGAATTAAAACAAGTGTATATTTTAATTATTTCCTTGATAATGAACTCGTGATCTATGCAATAATTTTGCATAATTTTTCCACCTCGTCTAAGATCCAGGGTCAGCCTTACAATGGCAGTTATATAAGATTGTATACAACATTATTCCAGTTATAATTCCGACGGATTTACTGTCAGTCGGAAGATGCAATGACGCGAGTAGAGACGCCACCCAAAACAATTTCAGTGAAACCGAAAAGTGCAAATCTGTGTCGTTTTATTTTGATTTTGACGATCACTGCTATCGCCTCCGTATCTTACGTCGTTTATAAGAAACCGTCGGACTCGCTAGGCGATCCCTCAGATCAGTTCATAGTTAAAAACATACCCAAAACTTACACAAGAGTGGAGGGTGTTGAACCCGAAGAGCGCGACGTTTTCAAAGGCTTCAGGACTTCGTTTCTGCCTCACGAGGATATTGTCGTACCCAGAGGTTATTTCGATAGCAAAATCGAAACGAATAACAAGGATTATAGTGAAGTTCCACAGAACAGGATCAAGCGCAGAAGTGAATTTGAATTCGTTCCAGAAGATGACGTGTATGTCTACATTTGCAGCACTAATTTTAGGAATAACTAGTGTGTTCGCGACAACTGATTTTATTTTATAACATAGCATAATATGTAATGAAGATTATAAGAATGAGGTTGAAGAATTAACGTGTGAATGATAATTGTTTCACAACTGTTTTTTTTTTTATTATTTTAGCAGTAATGATCAATATTTTCAAAATGAAGAATACGAAGAGGAAAGTGAAGAAGTTGAAAGCTATGACAACGAACACTATAAATACGAAGACAATAGTAAGATAGAAAGGTAAGTTACATTAAACAAAGTGTAATAATAGCTAAAGAAATATATTTGAATGCCTATTTATCGGTTACATTCAACACCAATATTTTCTATGTACGGTATCTGAGGGTAGATTTATATTAATTAAATACTGTTAATTAAATAAGTGAACCAAATCCTATTATAAGGACACTAGTGTTTATCTGTTCTGTTATCAGGTTGTACTGTATTAATCTTAGATCCTTGTGATTTTCGTTAAAAAAAATATTTTTGCTTGTCTAATAAACATTTTGTCTTTTTAGTAATATAAAAATGGAACGTTCTTGCAGTGAAATAATTCATATATATATTCTAATATTAATACTTATAGCGTAGCCCATCCCGAATTGTACGTAGATCGTGGCCCCTTAGACGATGTGGAGCAAGTCCGCAGGCAGCCGGAATTGGAGGAAGGGGAAATGGGTTCTGCGGCGCACGTTTACAAACCAGTTCGATCTCATATAGGTAGGTTCATAATTAGTAAATGTACTTAAAACATGAAATTAGAAAAATAGATATTCACAGTGGCACTTAGATGCAATATACTTTAGTTTCAATCTAAGAATATATATTTTTTTATAATAAAATTATTTCAATAAAAATTTCGGGAGAAATTTATCCATTTCAACACACAATACGTTCGAAAACCTCTTTTTATCTTAATTATAAAAAAAATTTGATCTTACTTGAATAACAACGCAATGCACTCAACGCGTTAGCTAAACTATCGTGGTTCGAAAATCTTCGTATACATATAGAAATTTAGCTGTTTAAGCTATTTTTATTAAAACCCGCAGGCAATGTATTTTTGTATCCCAATTGTTACAAATACATTTTGCTCCGTTCATAAGCATTATCCAATTGTCGTCGCTATAAAATGAGTCAAGTTCATGTCCACTTGTAATCAAATTAGTTGGCTGGAGGATAAAATGACGATGACATTGATAAAACGTATTGCTATGTATAGTAGGTTACCTAAACAATAATTTTTGCCCAATGACGGCCATACCAAAAGTATGTTTGTTTATTTCTCAATGATACGGACATTATATGGTATATACATTGTATAGACATTAAAGAACGAAAAAAGTAGATTACAACAAATTTTGTTTGAAATACAAATTTATGTTATCTACTTTTTTTTAAATTATCACGTTAAAATCATCACGTTACTAATAAACTTTGCTACTTGTTTCATTTCAGGAGTACATTCTTTTTGGAAAGGACAAGGTGATAAGGAAACTATAAGAAGTACCCAAGCAAAGATTATGAAGCAATATATGGATGAAGAAGCAGACCCATGCCATGATTTCTACCAATATGCGTGTGGGAACTGGGCTAGTTTAAATTCCATACCAGCAGATAAGGCAGGGTAAGAGAACCAAATTTGTAACAATTATATATGCATTAAATAAATAATACTATAATTTTTACAGATACGATACATTTGAGATGCTTAGAGAAAACTTAGATGCAGTTCTCAAGGACCTACTTGAATTTAAGACAACAGAATTTGTATCGTCTTCCTACCCCGGGCAACACTTGGATTTAGAAGACTATTTCTTACACATATTAAGCCCTTCAACATGCCCCAGCCATTTGAATGATGAAATGCATGTAGATATTATTCTTACAAAATCCAGTGAAATACATGACACTGAGAGATTTTCTCACTATATTAATGAAAATGAAAGTAAACCTGAAATAATTAATAGAATACGGCGATATTTAGATAAAGCTATGAAACACAATAACGAACACCTCTCGAAAACGAAGTACCAACTTCACACGAACCCTTTACATGGTGATCGTCAAAGAAGACAAAAGTATGGTAAAAACAAAAACAAAATAAGTAACCCCATATGGGTGAAAAATAGGCCAAAGAAATCAGTCGATATAAAATCACTACGACGTGGTAGGCGACTACTTTCAAGACAGAGAGTCAAAAGAAGGCAAAAAACAATCGAAGATTTTATATCGCACTTTAAACGTTTAAAACAAACCATACACAGTGATCCCGCGCAAGGTGACGCTACATTGAAAGCCAGATATTTATTTAAGTCTTGCATGAATCACGATATATTAAAACAAAGGGCTCACCAACCTTTATTAGATTTATTAGACCTATTCGGTGGCTGGCCGATTTTGAATCCTGAATGGACTCCATATCGTTTTGACTGGCTAGAACTAATGGCTAAATTAAGATTGTTCAATAATGACATTTTAATATCAGAATGGGTAGGACCAGACATAAAAAATTCGGATGAGTATGTGATTCAGTTCGATCAAACTAGTTTAGGTATGTATTATTTTGAATCAGTTGGTTAAAATTTAAATGATAACGACAAGATAAATAAATTTACATTTACAGGTTTACCAACGCGAGATTATTTTCTGCAGGGTTCTAATGTAGCGTATTTAAATGCGTATAAGTCGTATTTGATTAAAGTGGCTTTGTTACTTGGGGGAGATCCGGGACATGTAAATTCAAGCGCTGATAAGTTACTTGAATTTGAGATCAAGTAAGGTGTTGTCTTATAATCATATTGCTTATTAAGCCCCTTGTTCAACAAGCACACCGCAAATAAAAATTTTGTTGTCAGATTAGCAAAAATTACTTCAGCCCCAGAGGATCGACGTAATGTATCGGAATTATACCGCAGGATGTCTCTCTCTAAGCTGGAAACGTTGGTTCCAAAAGTTGATTGGAGACGTTATTTGTGCATCGTCATGAATAGAACTGTGGACTCTGAAGAAACCGTAGTACTTTTTGCTCTTAATTACGTTCGGGTAAATGTATTTTATAATAAAACGGGATATAATATAAACATTTATACTAATAATTTCCCTTTTTAATTTACTATAGCTAGGGACTTACTTACCAGGGTCAACAGACTCCATCTGTAACCCTATGTATGAAATAGGTTTAACTACAGGAAGATAAAAAAGCAGTCTATCATAATATATTCGCGAATGTTTAGTTATTTATAGAACCTTTATGTTACAATTTGGCAGCACTTGGTTCAATTAATTGAAAAGACGGATTTGACCACTTTGTCAAATTACCTACTGTGGCGTTTCGTGAGACATCGCGTCAACAATTTGGATGATCGCTTCCAAGCCGCAAAACAACAGTGAGTATTACATTCAGCCTATCATGATCCTAGTACTTTACTAACATTATTCTGACATAGTGTTAAGCGTGATACGCCAGTGTTCGACTGCAGTGGATGATGTTGATAGGAAGTAATTAACATAAATTGTTCTAGATTTTATTTCATTCTGTTTGGCCGAGAACAATCACCGCCTCGCTGGAAAAATTGTATATCACAGGTCAACTCCAATATGGGGATGGCACTAGGCTCTATGTTTGTGCAAAAGTATTTTGACGAAATGAGCAAGAATGACACTCTTACAATGACAACAGAAATTCAACAATCGTTCAGAGAACTTTTACATAGAACTGACTGGATAGACGATGAAACTAAGAAGCTAGCTGGACATAAAGTAGATACTATGATGCTCAGAATTGGCTATCCCGACTTCATCCTTAAGAAACATGAACTCGACGAACGGTACAAGGAAGTAAAGATTCACCCGGATAAATATTTCGAGAATATTTTAAACATTCTTCAACACTTGACAAAGATGGAGCAGTCAAGGTAATAAAATTGGAGACATTTTTTTATAATTAAGAAGATCTTTATTGTAACATAACTTTGGCATTTTTATCGTCTAGGATTTCATATAATTTGTACAGTTCAAAATTTAGAAGACAATATAACAGACATTTATAATTCGTTCGGATTAATGCAACGACAATGAGATGACATAATTTTACAATAACAATTATAGTTCTTCCTATTTATACTAACAATCGCAATGGTTACTGAACACTTTACTTGTTAATGATCTTCGCTTAAATTACTGTTATAAAAAAATCAATGAACGCTAACGGACGAACAGTAGGCTTTTGCTGAAAATCTACTGGCTAATCCCTTTTGGCATCACTTCAAATTAAACTGAATCTTTTTTTACTAATTATTTTATTGTAATTACATTTATTCTTTTCCAACATGTTACTAAATGAATGGCAAATAAAGAGATTTATTATTATTAATATTGTTTTTAGAATAGGTCAGCCAGTAAATAAGACTTTATGGAACACAGCACCTGCAGTGGTTAACGCGTATTACAGTCGTAACAAGAACCAAATAATGTTTCCAGCTGGTATCCTTCAGCCGCCTTTTTATCATCGTCATTTCCCTCGCTCCCTGAACTTCGGAGGTATTGGGGTGGTAATAGGTAAGCATAAAAAGTGTAAGACAATTAATAAGAAGAGAGAAAAAAACCCGACTACATATTGAGCAACTACTTCACAAATTTAAACATTAAGTATATAAGTAATATTACCTACTACCTATGTGATAAAAACTTTGCTAAAGTTCTTCAATTTGATCTGATCTGTAACAAATAAAGGACGTTAAATAGTATAAAATATAAATGCATGTATGCTCGAACACATTTAACGGTTTGAAATGGTAAATATATTGAATTAATTTTTAGCTTCGATCCTTCGGATGCTTTGGTTACGAGGCCATGAAAAGTTCTTTACTTATATATTTCGCGTTTTGAACCGTTAACCGAGTTTTGGCTTATGTGTTTTATACTTTATAAACAATAATACACATATATAGGTACATATTTATATTCACAGGACATGAAATAACTCACGGGTTTGACGATAAAGGTCGGCTTTTCGACTGTGAGGGAAATTTGCACAGGTGGTGGTCGGACTCCGCAATAGAAGCGTTTCACAAACGTGCGCAGTGCCTTATTGATCAGTATGGTCAATATATTGTACCTGAAGTCAATATGAAACTCGACGGCGTTAACACACAAGTACGTATAATGCCATATGAAAAATATTTCAGTTTTCAGACGTTAAACTATGTAATTTCATCTTTAGCGGTTTTCTTAAGCTGGTCTCATGGTTTATAAGACATTGAACCTTGAAATTAGATTGCACGAGAAGTGCATGTATAGGTTTGTAATGTAAATTTTTTTGCGAAGACCTGTAAGAAAAGGTAGCTCAATTGGATAAAGCCACATGTCGGAAAGATGTGGATGCCGGTTCGATTCGTGCCCGTGTCGAAAGTTTTTTCCAAGTAAAATCGATGTTTAATTTATATAATGTGCAATGACAAGTGAAAAATAGTAAAGTTTTCAAAAGTACGTAACACAAGTACTCTTGGACGCAACCTTGAACGCTATACTTGTTTACTACATTTTGTCCTACTAGTCGGTGCTTTAACTGTGGTAGTTGTAATCACTGAAAAAAAAAAGTAAAACAATTAACAATCATCGTAACTTTATTTCATATTACTTTGTCATGGTTACAATAAAACTATAAATCTTGCGTCACGTAACGGTGCAAAAACAAGTAATAGGATATCAATTGTACTTAATTATTAATATATCTATGCAATATTGCATAACATATAATATATATACTATAAAGGTGGAGGTTGTGTTTGTTTGAGCGCTATAATATCTGGATTAAATAAAAAAAATATTTTTGCGTTGATTGGAGCCACCTTGGAGCATTTATCAAGGAAGGCTTTAGAACGAAGAGAGAATGGGAAATGTGTAAAAAACGGGGAAAATACATCTTTGGGCGTTTCCGTTGTATGCGGTGGGAAAGTATTAAAATTTTCTAATAAAATGTCCTTGACACTTATATGATTATCTCTTTTTAGATTTACTCACAAAAGCCGCTTTTATAGTAAGTTGGTCGAAATGCCAATTATTTGTTACAGTTGTATCAACATAATACTATAAATCATTCAAACAACAATAAAACGTTTGCTGGATCAGCTAGTACTAATTACAGCAGAACAATCTAGCACGCGCTAAAAGCTTCTTTATGTTTAGGGTGAGAATATAGCAGATAATGGCGGAGTCAAGCAGGCTTTCCACGCTTATTTGCATTGGCTTGAACGACATGACGCTGCTGAAGAAACACTCCCTGGTCTCAATCACACGCACACACAGCTTTTCTTCCTAAATTTCGCTCAGGTAAATATTTATTGCTCTTAAACGTCGCAACAAAAGTTTATTTGAAGTATGTAGAAATGATAACGAATTAATTGCAAGATGCAATTAAGAATAATTAAGAAATAATTTCATCAAATAATTTTAGATTATCATTTGAATTAATGATAAATATATTCTCATTATCTCTTCGTTATTATAGTTTTTTGAATATATGATATAAGATTTAGAATGTACTATTTTTCATTTTGGATTTCAAAAGGAGAGACAATATGAATGTGCTTAGTTGTAGAGCTTCCTTTAGTAGTATAGTGCATATATTAAGAGGTTAACAATTGTGGATTTTCAGGTATGGTGCGGAGCTATGCGCCCAGAAGCGATGCGAAATAAGCTAAAGACAGCCGTACACTCACCAGGAAGATTCAGGGTTATCGGAACTCTGTCTAACTCCAAAGATTTTGCAAGAGAGTTCCAATGTCCACCCGGTTCTCCCATGAATCCTATAAATAAGTGTAGTGTGTGGTGATAATAGCCACTGTTAAAGCTATCTTATACAGATGTAATCTTTAACAATCCGAAAAGTTGCAAGTTAGGGCCTGCTTTAACATCTCGTTAAAATGGTCTAGAGGAATTTTCTGTCTTTCATCATACAATAGGTTCTTACATATTTATTGGTTATGCCAATTAGTATTATAAGTTTTTGTATATCAACTATAATTTTTCATAAAAAGGCATTAACGTTTTTAGTAGAATTATTTTGTAAAAAAATATTCTATTTTTAATATTGCATTTTGGTGATAACGCTTTAATTAGACATTATATGACTATTAAGTTTATATTTAGTTAGTAGTGTTATTTGAATCTTAAATACACTAATAACCTCTTTGACCGGATATCTTACTTACGGACTTTTATTAAGACTCAAAATTCGATAAACAACAAAACAATTTATTAAAAAAAATCGAAAACAAGTACAAAAATTAGTAAACATAATTTCCAACTTCGAGACTCTGCACATCATCATTGCTCCATAGCGTCTCTACTTCATTCTGTGAGGGCCTGGAGAGATCTACATGATCACGGCGTTGCCAGCGAAGACTCACCAGCCGTGCTACTTCAAGCCACAAGCGTGCCTCTAGCACTATATTTATAAATAGCCCTAGATCAGAGAATCGATCTATCTACTGCCTCACCAAGATAATCATATACTAGTTTAGAAGTAAGAATTCATAACGGACATTTTTATGCTGCCAAGGGGTTCTGGTTCATGTTTAGTCTTCAAAAATAGGTATTCATCTAGAAAAGACACCTTTAAAGCAAACCTCGAAATAGTCCATTGCGCCGGACTTAGTACCATTATTAATTTGAGGTAAGCTCCGAACGAGTTATGGCAAGATATCTTACGTATCTCCAAGGTCACTTACGAAATAAAAACGAGAAGGCTGTCAGAAACAAAGGATTAATGTTGCCGTTGACCATAGCCATTGTGTATAGCAGGGCTCCGGCTGTTGGGGCTTGTCTCATGAAGAGCCCCCGTATTGTGACTCCAAGCCAAGGCAAAAATAGATACTCGCTAAGGGGTGATCGCTGAAATACGTATTAATAAGAATAATTCATTACCCGTTCCAAATTTAAATCAAAATACTTAAAGTACTTTTCGCATTGTTCCATTTTCTTTGTAATTTAAAATTCAAGCTGTCTATAGCTTACGCGAGTAACACACTTATAAAGAAAGCACTTTTAACGGTTTAAAACATTTTGTTTTAAGGCGATTTAAAGGGTTTAAAACAAGCTTCTAAGCATCCAAAACGTCAGGGCGTAGTTAAGATAAGTTGTTAATAAGTTACTACTAATACAATTCGCGTTTTAAACCGTTAATAGTGTTTTATTTATTTATCAGGAAATTTTTCCACTTAGTTAAAACGCGAAATATGTAAGTTGGTTCCTTTTTTACTACGAAATAACAGCTGTTGGTTAGAGGGGAGAACAAAAAGCTTCTGAATCGTAAGGTACCAAGTATTTGAAGAACTTATATACAAATATAGTTTTTGTTTAAACCTGTTTAAGTTTAGTTTATCGTGTAAGCTACAGTTATGACTAATTATTAGCTATTCTATTCTAAAATACTTCGTACCAAAATCTATACAAACCTATTTGCACATTATTGCAAAACATATTTTCAGATAACAAGTACGCTAAATGTTCACACCACTTCACTAGTTGGTAAAAATAACAATGATCTTATCAGATTCAAATCTATTACAATCTGACTACATAGATGGCAAATATCACAAGACCCGATTGATAACAAATTTGGTTATTGAAAGTATGATAAATCCTATTTCTAAATTTTATAGTTTCAATGTCTACTAGCTAAATTATCTATTAAGTGTTGTAGTACAAAGTGCTACTCCTGTAACTACTATTGCTAGGTTATAAACAAGTTTATTCTTGTTTTAAAGCTGTTTTAGCTTAAAGAGTGAAACTAAAACAGCTCTAATCAATTCTTTAAGCAATGCGAATGTTATCACATGCTTATTTGATATATATTATATGAATGTGTGAGTGACCGATTTGTCATTGTGTTCAATTTGTAAACATCCTTCTATTGCGAATCCCGCTCAGTCATCTTCCATTCACACTAGAGTATCTTGTGAATGTGTGTGCCTGTGCGTAAATGTGTGTGAATTGTATATAGCTTATTTTGTGGTTCCATCAGCTACAACCGGAATTTTAGCCACAAGTAAACAGACGTTTGCGCATGGAAATCGTGTTTTAACGTTTATATTATATACGAGTGATTTTATTATATTGGTATCAATTTACGATTGTAAGTGTTGAAAGATACGATAGAATTTGATAAGGAATTCGTGGTGAGTACTAATTCTTACGTGTTCTATTGCCGGCATTTCATTTTCACTCAAATTTGCGGTCTGTATTAGTTTTATTATGGATATTACTCAATCCTTTTTTGTATGTATTGAATTTTTTGGTTAAGCGCTAATATCATCATTATCAAAAAATAATAATAATTTATTATTATTATTTTTTGATAATGATCAGTAGGGTTTTACGATACGCACCCATTTTAAAAAATATCTTCTTATTTTTTATTTATTTTTCTTACTCGATTATTGGAATTCCACAGTAGAGATATAAAATAAATCTTATTCTAATAACCTATAATTAGAATAAAATATAAACACAAATAAAGTGTTTTCTTATCTGATTTCAGAAATAAAGGATAAAATGGTCAAGGCTAGAAAATATGTCGTAAAAAGACATTTCCAAGGGGTCCCAAAACGTGATGACTTTGAAATCGTAGAATATGAACTCCCTCCACTGAAGGATGGTAACTTTACTGTCAAATCCGAATGGATAAGTGTTGACCCTTACATTCGCGCCTACAACCCCAACATACCCACTCCATATGATCAATTCAGTTTCCAATTGGGTAAAGTCGTGGAATCCAAAAACCCTGACTTCCCCGTCGGATGCAAAGTAGTTAGTCACAAGGGTTGGTGTGACTACACCGTGTTCGACGATCTCGTTGAAGTTGAAATTGGGTTCGCTAGTGTATATAAGCTTCCTGACTTACATGGCCTTCCTGAGGAACTAGCTGTGGGTGCATTAGGTATGCCAGGAGTTACTGCTTACTTCGGTCTTCTAGAAATATGTCAACCTAAAGCGGGAGAAACGGTAGTAGTCACCGGCGCAGCTGGAGCAGTAGGTTCAATCGTAGGACAGATCGCGAAAATTAAGGGATGCAGAGTTATCGGGTTTGCCGGCTCCGATGACAAAGTTGAATGGCTTGAGAAAGAACTCGGATTCGATAAAGCCATCAACTACAAGACGGCAGATGTTCGCAAAGCATTGAAAGAAGCTGCACCGAACGGCGTGGACTGCTACTTCGACAACGTAGGAGGAGAGTTAACTGCTGTCATCTATAGTCAAATGAATAAGTTTGGCAGAGTATCTCTGTGCGGTTGCATCAGCTCTTACAATGACGACCCCTCAAAGATGACAAAGACGACTACGCTCCTGCCTTCAATTTTGTTTAATCAGCTGAAAATTGAAGGTTTTATCGTTTCGAGATGGGCTTCACCCGAAAATAGGTGGCCAGAAGCGATATCGCAACTGGCGCAGTGGATTAAGAGTGGTAATATAAAGACGAGAAGCCATGTCACTGAAGGATTTGATAAGATATACGATGCATTTATCGGGATGCTCGCAGGGGAAAATAAGGGAAAAGCTGTTGTGAAAGTCTAAATACATTGATTGACACTTCTACAATGTTATCATTTCGTTTTAAATAAATGGATGTTTATTAAAAACGAGTTTAATTAGATACCTCCTCTGTATAGGTACATAGAATATTTTACTATTTCAAATCCTAAGTTGTACCTAACTATCACAAATTTCAGAAATTCAGTTTTAAACCTTTGAGAAATTTTAAACTTAATTTAAAGAACTTTTTGTCATCCGAGTACATCACGTAGTAGCATGTAGGTACGCCAGGCTTTTTAGATTTTCATACGTTTTTAGTCTATTTATCTTTTAACGTATTTTATAAAATTAATAAACTTAGGTATTATTGTAATTAATTTTTGTTTGTGTTATGAGAAATATAAAACTTGCAAGTCATTTTGTAACTAGCATCTGATCCGCTTAGTAAACAGTCAAAGATATGGTTGTATGTACAATGTCCGAAGGCGGGTTAAATTATCACCATATCGTTAAATGAGATAATAACCATGCTATTCATGCTTTTGTCGTCATTAAGCGTGGACGCAACGTTGATTAGAATTACATTAAATTCATGTTTTGTTTCATACTTACTTAAAAAGAATAAATAGAGGTGAGTTTTGTTAATCTTTGACCGTAGTGATCTTTAAATAAATAGTCCTGTTTAAAATAAATGTAATATTTTTGTTTTCGGTAGACACCACTTCGAATTATACAAATTTCGTTGTTCAAAAATAGTATTATATATTCGTTTAGAGTGTGACATAGGTACCTAATACGTATACCATACTAATGGAAAATACTTCGAAATTACTTGTCTTTTGATAAAATATTGCAGATATACTTTAAAAAGAAAAAATGTAATGTACGCTTATGAAATTCAAAGATAGTAGTCGGTATAAAATCCTTTACGCTTGAATTATAATTATTAAAATTAAAATGTTGTGACGTTAACTGTACCTATTCTGGGGAACGAACAAAGTATATAATTATTTTAGTTATCTATGCAACATTTGTATATAGCTTATAGCGTACGTTCCATTTACAGTGATTATCTCTTTATCTTTATTTGCAGTTGAAAATGGTGAAAGCGAAAAAATATGTCGTAAAAAACCACTTCCGAGGTCTACCGAAACGAGAGGATTTTGAAGTAGTTGAATTTGACCTTCCTCCTCTGGAGAACGGGGAAATTCTCGTTAAGACTGAGTGGATCAGCGTGGACCCTTACGTCCAAGTACACAATCCTTTCCACCCTGTTCCCTACGACCAACACAGTTTCCAAGTAGGTACAGTTCAAGATTCAAAGAATCCGAATTATCCCATCGGTTCAAAGGTCGTATCGTACAAGGGCTGGTGTGATTACAGCATTATTGACAACTTTGAAAACGGTACTGACGGATTTGACTTCGGTAGAGTATATAAATTGCAGGATGTAAAAGACCTCCCGGTGGAGTTATTTGTCGGTACGTTAGGGATGACAGGTGTCACTGCCTACTGTGGTTTGTTAGAAATATGCCAACCGAGGGCTGGTGAAACGGTCGTCGTGACCGGTGCCGCTGGGGCTGTGGGCTCGATAGTTGGACAAATCGCGAAGGTTAAAGGTTGCAGAGTGGTAGGATTCGCTGGTTCTGATGAAAAAGTTCAGTGGCTTGAAAACGAGCTGGGCTTCGATAAAGCTATAAATTATAAGACGGCAGATTTACGTAAGTCTCTGAAGAAAGCTGCACCAAACGGCGTGGATTGTTACTTCGATAATGTGGGCGGGGAAATCAGTAGCGTTATTATCGCCCAAATGAACAAGTATGGAAGGGTCGCTGTTTGCGGTTCGATAAGTGCTTATAACGACGATCCTGAAAAACTACCCAAAGCGACCATTCTTCAACCCTATATAATATTTAACGAGTTGCGAATTGAAGGATTGACTGTAAATCGATGGTCGAACCCAGACAGATGGCCAAAAGCAATCGCTGATTTATCAGAATGGATCAGGGGTGGTAAAATACAGGCAAGAAATCACGTAACTGAGGGATTTGATAAACTTTTCGACGCACTTATTGGCGTACTCACTGGAGATAATTTTGGAAAGGCTGTTGTTAAAGTTTAAATTGATGTTTGTCACGTATAAAATGCGTCAGTAATTTATCTACAGTACGTTAAGCACTAAACGATCGTGATGTAATGTATATATGATTACCACATTCGAAGTATTCCAGATAAGTAAGGTACTAAATACAATTACAAGTGCGTCGGAGGCTTCAATACACCACATAACTCCTGCAAATTATTATTAATGGCATATGAAATTACATTTATAAAGAAACTTTGAAACGGCTTATGATACATTCTTAATAGTCATTTTTTTGTTTCAAAAATGGAGATACTAACGAGAAGAATCAATATCGTTGATGTAAAGTTTATCATCCTTGCTCATTAACATAAAGTGTAAATCATTCGGTAACGGCTCCTCATCGAAGGTAACCACTTCGAACTTCACATTGCTCACAACGCCCAATGAAAAGCAAACAAAAGCTACAAATGTCGCAGATAAGGTGTGCTTGGAAGAACTCGCCTGCAGCCGCTCAGATGCCACAAAGGATTTACTTCGCAAATAATCAATACTCGTGTTCACATAATCTATGAAAGCTCCAACAACTGGTATTCTCGAACGTGCAAACGTCATATTTTGTTTAGATAAGGTTGAAGAATCGCCACTAGCCATTGTAAATTTATAATCAGAAATTCATTACATTATCCAAAAATATCAAATGTAACATTCGATTTGACATTGACTTTTGTATGTTACTTTTTTATATTTTACAAATATAGTACTTATATACTGTTTTATAAACAATTTGCATACACTGTTTAAAATTGTTTTGAAAGTACACATTTGCTTATTACATTTCTTGGTAATGATTTTCTTATTTATCCAAAATCTACACTTTATACTAATATATAAAGCTGAAGAGTTTGTTTGTTAGTTCGAACCTATCCAAAGTACGGGTTCGTTTGAAAAATTCTGTGTCGGTAGGCAACTATCGAGGAAGGTTATAGGCTATAACACATTGCGATTTGACTAATAGGAGCGAGGATACAGCGAGAAATGTGAACAAAACGGGGGAAATTCTTCATCTCTGTAGGTTTCAGATGCGTACGCTGCGAAAACGGTTTAAGATACCTAAAAACTATGTATGAAAGAATTATTTTCCTATAAATTATCTAAAAAAAGGCCGGGGGGTTTTTTTTTTTTTTTTTTTAAGATTAACTAAAACGACCCAACGGCGGGACGCGTACGACGGGATACGAATATGTGGGTAACAGCTACTATTATAAAGAGGAAAAATTTTTATTTTTGTATGTAATGAGTAAACTCAAAAAGTACTGCACGATTTGAATAATTCTTTTTTTTCATTAGAAAGCTACATTATCACCGATTAAAATAGGCTACATTTAGTACTAGATACGTAGAAATCTTAGAAATTTGAAAACCAACGGGGGGTGTAAAAAAATTGCCAAAATATCTTTCATCGCATACGATGCGAAAAAAATAGGACAAATAATGTTCGAATTAAGAATTCAATATAACTATTTACAAAAAATCCGAGACCAATGTCAACTATTGTAGTCACGTAAAATTACATGTTACATTTAACAAATTGATAGAAATGTCGAACAAAATCAAACCTGTTATCCATACCATTTATGAATTCTTATTTAAATACATAAATTATAGATTTAATAATATTATAAATCGAAAGTAATTTCTTGTCTGTCTGTCGGCTTTAACTCCGAAACTACTGAACTGATTTAAATGAAATTTGGTAAATAGATACTTTTAGAGTCTGAGAAAGGACATTTTAATAGAAAATGTAAAAGTATTTTCAATGGGTTACAAGTAAAAAAATAAATAAAAATCGAAAACTTTGACAAACGGTTATCCTTGTTTAAAAATATTTCCAAAAGCAAAGTCGAGCATAATGATAATTAGCAATACGCTATTTTATTATCAGCCAACTGAATATACAGTAGAATTTTATGAAATTCGTGTAAAATGACTTACAATTTTTTATCTCGTAGGAGGGTTAAAAAATATGTTTTCAATTAACTTCACTTCGGCTCAAACATTGCAAGTTACCTCCAATATCCAACATTTGAATCGTTTAATTATTTCCTAAAAATTTAAGTAAGTATTATTTGCAATTCCCTGGGGTATATCGGTCTAATACCCTAATATAAGACTATAAATGAGTAAACTTCTGTTTTATACTTAAAATTGGATCTATGTCTCTTAACCTCTCTTAATAAAACACTTGCAAGAAAGGTTTTACAGTAAAAATTTTATTATAACTTAAATGATTATGCAGTATGTTATCTTCTGTTTCACTTAAAAATAAGTAAGAGTTACAACTGTTATATAATTAAAGTATGATTATGGATACTTAAACAATTAGAAGACTAAAGGCTACGATTACCTAGTTACATTTACATCAAACTCATTATCCTCAATTAAGGCCTTATTTATTCTCATTGATAAGAGATTAATTTATCAGACTTGGAAATTTTTATTATCACAATCAATTTTAAATTGAAGCAGTGACAAAAACATTGATTTAATTTTTCGACGATTGTTCGACGTCGTGTATCTAAACTTTTTTTATTAAAAGACCTTACAAAAGCTCTATAAACCGAGAGTTTTTTTTAATATTTTGTCGAAATAATACTAGTCATAATAGCAATAATGAAAATTACGCTAACACGGAAGATTGTACGGCTATGTGAAAATATATTCAGGATCCCAAGCCTGCTATTTGCAATGGCTTATGTCGATGGCCTGTCGTTGCCATTCGGTATACCATTAAAATCGCTTGTCAGTTTCTCGTCGTTTAGTGTCTATAGTTTTTGTAGAATACGCTTTTTTGCAATGGTCTGCCGCTAGCATTTAACTGATTCATGATTAGTAGGCTTAGGACCCAGATCACCCAGTTCATATCCTTGTGTGTGATTTGCTTAGAAGGAAACCAAATATTCTTACATTACTATACAGACGAGTTAACTTTCTTCGGAGCGGGTTCTTCACTTTCGCTGGGTTTTCGTTTCCTTTTGATTAGATGGGAGATGTCGGACGCAGCCGGTTTGGGTTTACTGTCAGCGGAAGACGAGCTAGCACCGTTGCTTTGTGTGTCACCATTTGTCGAAAACAGAGCTTCGCGAACTCTTTTGATGGTCTAGAAGAAAAATATGCCTATGAAAAATATATACTTTAAGTTCCTAGTTTATTTTACTAACTCGCATCCGTAGGTTACGCAAGTGGTATTTATTAAACAAATGTTTCTTAAATGGATTCAAACGCAATTTAAAATTTTTTATAATTTAGCCAAGTGGAAAGAAGTTTTCTTTATAGCAATGAAGGTAGATGGGATGGATGTAATTGTTACTGTTTGATATTGGGTATGGTAGTAGAAACCTTGAAATAAATACTTTTTTCATGATAACTTTTATTCTATAGCCCGGGTATCGAGAATCGATAGCGAGAATCCTACTTAGGAAAATGTTACTGCCTGTTACATGTAAGGGGTACGGGGCAGACATATTATATCATATTGGCTTCACTGAAATGAATGTTGCCTTCTGTACCAATAAAATATTTTATCATATTTCCATGAAATTGGGATCCTGACAATCTAGAACGGAAGGCTAAACATAGTCTAAACACTAAGCCTCTATTAATTATTACCTATATAATTGATTAATACACTGTGGTTTACATTAATGGCCATTAAACATTGCTTATTTAAACCACATGGCCATCAATGTATTGGGTATGCTAAAATAATAGACATGTTTCAAATTTTGAATAATTTTTATTAAAAAATTCACAATACAATATGGCCTTGTGATTTAAAATTACAATGTTAAAACAGCATAAGGCACTAGCAATAATACTGAATTTATCACAATTTCAAGAGATTACAAAAGTACCTAAACTTGTCAATATCAAAATACTTCAGTCCACAGCTACCAATAAAAAATAATCAGACTTTTATCATGAATGATGTAATCTTGGTATACAAGATGGGAATGTTATTTTTTGTGTATGAACAACATAAAATCAGTCTTAAAAAGGCAGTCAATTGTCTTATACCACTAAAATGAGAATTAAGTTCGGTCAACACTTAATTGAATTAAACAGTATCTTGTAGTATATGTCCATCAACAAAACATAATAAATGAATTATAATGTATCTAGTCATACATTATGAATCATTAATTATGGTTTATGGTACAGTCTTTTTTATAATTAATGCAGTTTTTAGTTCTCAACAATTATTATTAGTCATTCAGTTTAGAGGACACCAGCATTGATTTTTTATCTTAAATGACTTAGCAATATCATAAGAACGTTAAGGGTTACCTTAATAATTACACCTGCACTTCAACATGGCACATATTCTTCTCCCTTATAATCATATTACGCAACATATCCCTAGTTTGCTCGAGGCATTCACATGGTCTTACCTCCGCCTTGTAGTCCATCATATCTTGAATTTTCTCCTGAATTTCTGGCAGAAGCTCCTTCAGTTCTTTGATTTCTGCTTCAGCAGACATGTCGGTTGGTAAATGTTTCTTAGAGGCATCCTCGGTGGGACTCTCTAGTGATTTGATACGAGATTCTAGAATGTTAGCTGCGTTTTTAAAGTGGGTAATTGCGTCCTCAAAGTTAGATGCTAAAGAGTTGGCTAGACCTGAAATACATACATATTAATGAAAACATTAACTTATAATGAATTTCTCAATCTAAAGAAAACGAATCGTATTTCAAACAATACAATAATTGATGATTATAAAAATTGTGTAAAAAGTAAAGTTATCAATATTAAAGAGAAAATAGAGCTTGGTTGGTCAAAGCAATAGCATAGAACACTGTGGTTGTGGATTAGTTTCAAGGTTTGTGTTTATCAATATTTGAATTAATATCTCTTTAAAATGATGAAATGAACTTTCAAGTAGTAGAAGTTAATCTTACCAATTTGATAATGTGTTTCAGCGATTCGCCTATCATCACAACTATAGAGCTCCTTCTGTATTTCCAAGCAGCTGACTGTAAAACATTTTTAATATTTTTCAATACTGAACATAAGAATACATTGAGTCAATAAATATAAAGGCTACATACGCATATCAACCACAGCTTTGTCATAAGTTTCGCTTTCAAGAGCGACTTCACCCAAAGCCAAATGGACATCAGCTAAAAGCGACCGCGCTTCTGCATTCGACTGTACACGACGATCTAGTATGCTGCGTGCTAGATCTGTAAAATATTGGAAATTATTAGATATGACATGAATACAATGTGGTATCTGAATTTCAGCACTCACTCATAAAATGAAGGTTCTATCAAGTCCACTTGTATTTTATGTCCCAGCTTGCATTCCGCAACAAGTTTAGTTCAGAATTTGTTACTCTTATATAATAATGGCACATATAAATCAAAATTTGTCTAAAACCAAATGTTGAATGAATTTGGGACATGTTGTTTTTAACAACATTCTTACTTACCTAACATTTCCCATGCTAGCTGAAGATTGTCAACATCATCTTCATTGTCAAGATTTGCCATGGATTCATCGTTCACATCACCATTGGACGTTCCCTTTTGATAAATGTTCAGTATTTTAAAAGCATTCTTTATTAATGAGGTATAATTAGAAGAAAAAAATTATGAACAGGTACTGTGGGAGTAATTTCATCAATTTTAAGTGTGAAAAAAGTTTTAATAATACTTACTGGTTGGTCTGCTTCATTCACATCAGTCACAGGTTCTTTGTCGTCTGTTGTTGACTCCACAATACTTTGGTCAGCCTCCATAGGGTCAGCCTCCTCTGATTCTGCTTTATTTTCACCATCACCTTCTTCTTCACCATTCTGTTCTTGTTCTAATTCATAGTAAACATTATATTTAAAACTACGTATGTTTTAATTTCATGCTCATATTTAGTCAATGTGATTTGACATAGTAGTAAATCATGACTTTGGAATCTCTTTATCGTAAATATAAATTAACTTTTAGTTAATAAGTTCTTTATAACAGTGTATATACATATGAAAATATAATCCTGTAATTCATGAGGCACTTTTAAGGCTTTAAGGTTTAGGCAGTGTAGCCTAAACAAAAACAAATTACTTGTGTTTTAATTGTGTTATGTACATGTATAAAAAATATATTTAGATTTTGTTCATGGTTGAACTCTGGGGCTTATGATTATTACCTTCATTATCCTCTTCATTATCTTCATTATTTGTTCCAGGCATACCATCTCCGAGAACACCATTTTCTTCCCTCGATAAGCCTAGCAATGCCTTTCCATACCTGCAATTGCAAATAAATACAATGAAAAATTATTTTTGGTACAGAATTTTATTTTTTCAAGCAATATATACAGTAATTTGGTATAAAGTCCCATTATTGAAGAATCCAAAATAGGTAGGGTACCACAAATAAGCTTCAGCACACTGGTCTGCCGTATCTCCATGTTCTTTGGCCAACAATTCACAAGCTTTTGCTAGATTTTCTACGGCAGCACTATAATCTCTTACAGCTAGGTGACGCCGTCCAGAGGCTAATAATTCTGTGGGGGGAGTAGTTGGGCTCTCTGCTACTTCAGCCATCTGTAACTGTACCAATTAACACAATGCAAATAACCACTACAATCCAAAGCGCATAATGTACGATAAATAAGTTTGATTTGCTTAGAATCTTATCAAAAAGAGTTTATTATATGCCAGAAGTTCGGTAATCTAAAACAACAATGACAGCAATTTTGCCGGCAAAAATAACGGACGGTGGTTGACATAACAAAAGGAACCACGTGGATAACACTTAATTCCTAAAGATGGAATCTGTTTCGTAGACGCGTAAGTAACCAATTTTAAGTAGAGCTCAAAATTAATGATTAAATAAAAGATTTTAAAATTTTAAATGCTATGTTACGGTTAATTTTTGGAGCACTGTATATGTCAAACTTTTTGGTGTGCACTTACCACTTTTTATTTTCTTTGGATTTTCAATGATTAGCTTTAATAGATGTAGAAAATATAACGTGTAATGATATCTAGCCGTATTTGGAATGATATAAAATATTTTTACTGAATGTAACTTTCGTCTTACACAAATTGCTAGTAAAAAGACGTCAAGACCTTAAGGTAGCGAAAAGAGGATAGGCCTGTTCCGTTGCCGATTATTTTTGCAAAGTCGTTACCGATAATCATAATCGATAAATTAATCGATTATGATTATCGGTAACATCGAAAATACACGTGTTATCTTATTTAACGTATATGTTTTACAAAATAATAGTAAAATCTTTATCATACTAATAGTACGTAATTTAATGTTTTGAGGGAGTAGAATAAATTTTAATAAACATAATAAATGACATGACATGGGCAGATCTCACTATCCAAAATGTGAAAGCCATTAAATGAGGAATATGATTGATGAATTTGATTAAAATATTAAAACATTAAAAAAAATTGTAGATAAATGTAAAACATATTTACAATATGTGGTACATACGTTACGTATTTTTTGCTTTTGGTCAATGGACTAGCTTCCAAGGTACCTAAATAAAAAAAATCAACACAACTAACTACAAATATAAAGTTAAAGCTAAAAATTACAAAGTTTACTTAAGGAAACGTCAAAATAAAATTCAGTGTAGATGAAAAATAGAAAGACTAACTTTGTAAAAAGTTTATACAGCGTAAGGTAGAGTTAAGAATTATTTAAAAGCCGTTTGTTTTTTATTGTATTAAGTATGTAGGCATACATGGACTTTATATATAGATATTACCTGCCAAATTTCGTAACTCTTCTTCTATATTTATTATTTTCATTGCCAAGGTATATTGTTGAAAATATATTTATAGAAGAATTAAATTCTCCCTAAAACTTAAATAAACTTATATCTTTCGACATACTTGCCAAATGTCTCGTATGCCATTTTCTATTCCAAATTACTGCAAAATTTGCTATAATGTGTTGTATTACTAGAAATAACTTAATAGTTTCCTTAAACAACAAAAAACATAGGCAACTGTAAAAGTAATATAAGCTACAAGCCGTCTTATGGTACGATCACGATGGTAGTTAATATAGTTAGTACTTAAAATATCTAACACAGTGTTTTGCTACAGAAAGAATAAAATGCAATTTTTGCGCATATAAAGTGGAATTGGATTTGAACATCGTGTACAATAGAATAGATACAATTAATTAGGTATGTTGCAGTGTGCATCGAATAATGGCATGAGTAGCTATCGACTTTTCCCCCGCCCGAGCTGTTCGCAGCGATTGTCCGCCCAATATTGCTGTAGTGATGTTCCGCCCCGACTTTTAATGCCATCGATATCGATATTAAGGAATAAAATTACCTGCTGAATGAAAAGTTACACGTCCATTTCAAAAGATTATCTACACATTCTTTGGTTAAGATTAATACGTGATTTAAGTTTAAAATGAATAACTTTTGAATTATTTTAAGTACCTATGGATTCTTTTCTTATATTCACGTATACCTATATCTATATTGGATGACATATTATAACCAAATTGTTAATAATATAGAGATATACATCGAACAAAGCATCAGTCTCGACTTACGTCAAGGGAAGCGCAACGCTATTTTGATGCTTAAGTTTTTGTATATCCCTATTATTATCATTATTTAGGATAAAAAGGACAAATTCGCTTACGTTGTCTAAAGTAGTCCTTAGAAAAATATTTCCAGAATTAGTCGACATTATATTATCGACATGGAAATTATCACGTTCAGCGCTTCGTATCGCTTATTTTCCCGTTTTTCCAGTCTCGTCAGTCTGATTGTAAATTTCTAGTGAAGAGGGTGTCCCGCCACCGTTCAGTGACTTGCGAGCGATAGCGAGTGTTTATTCAACTATTCTTCAAACAAAAACATTTTGTTAATTATTAAACATCAGAGTTTATTTGACAAAAATGTGACCGGTGAAATAGATTCTGTAAACCATACGGTGTGATATTAGTAAGTAGTTTATATTGAAAGCATTCATATAGATCGAAATAATTAGGACATGAAAATTAGACAAGGCGTAAACTATATATTTCGAATATGTTGCTACGAATCATTCTACAGAAGACATTGAACTGTAATAAGATTAGTTAGCTATAGTTTTTCTTTACTTATCCAACAAAGAATGTGCGAGTATGTAATTTTTTATCACTACAATAAATCTCCATAATGATACTGTACTTCTTTGTGCATTTACCCGGCTCATTTTGAATATTTGACTTTGAAAAGAAATTTAAGGCTCTTCTAAAAGAGTTGTGAGAACTCTTTGTTCAATAAGTAAGAAGAAATATTTAAGCTTCGTATTAATTTATTGGTTTAGCTTTTTGGCAACATATAGCGTGTTCGATGCCAAAATCGCGATCTTAAATAATCAAGGCTTTTAGTTACAGTAAAATGTAACTTTCGTGTCACCTGACTTTATATTAAACTTCTCCTATAATAGTGTATATATTTAAATAAGCTTCCAACCAAAATCATATTTTAGTGATATCCATAGAAACTTCAGATTTTCTTGAACCATCGTTTGTTTAAGAAACAATGTTTTATTTCCACGCAAAAACATAAGAAATACACGGATTCTTGTGACCGACAAAAATACGTCAGGTGTCGCTACCAAATCTTACCGCTGCAGCTGGGCCACGGAGGTAGTCCCAACTTTTTTATATTATAACACTTACTAAACATTCGTACTTGTTTCAGAATAGGGGGTATGGTCTCAACGACCAGATGAGCAAATTTAGTGTTGGCGGGAACGACATAAGATTACGAAAATTGCTTCCCACGGCAGTCCGGCGCGCGCGTACATCGCCTACCACAAGCTGGGCGCTGGTATGGAGGCGCAAACTGAGACGCCACAAGGCGACTGCGAGTGTGGCGTACATCCATCGGTCTTCTACCTACTCGCCACATTGCTCCTCACCAGGTCAGAAGCATTGAAACACCCGCTACCAGTAGAAAATAGAGTACATACCCATTTTTTCATCTTAAATTAACTTGAAAAGTCATTTAAGTTATGTCCTTATCCATGTTTTTATTTAACACACCCACATTACCCACGTATATTTAAAAATAACAAGTAAACAAGGGATCTACTGATGTAAAAGTAACATAGGTTTAAAATATCAATGGAATTGTCAAAAATTCGTTTGCGCGATCTCCAAAATGTATAACAAAGAGTATACCAAATATATTAGAACAAATGGTCTCGGTTAAGTATCCTTTTTAATAATTAATTTCGTTTTATGTTTAATACCTATAGCATATAAGCGTACGTACCTATTATATAAATCTTTTTCATTATATACAATACAAGTGCTCTAAATGTACTTTAGAGGTCAGCATCTATTTAAAGATAAAAGAATATACACTTACTCGAAGTTAAATGTCAGCCCTCATTTGGTATTGAAGTTAAATCTTTTAGTGTAATGCCTATCTAGATACAAGATAATTGCTTCTATTCTATTCCTATTTACTACAGTTATCCAATCCAAAATACTCGCTTATAGTACAGTCAGCGAGTATTATGCATGTTACAGCATGTACCAACAATGACTAACTTTTATGCCCAGTAGAATGTTCATGTTAAATCTTATAACGCCATTTTAAATGTCTTCCACCCACCGAGTTGAGATTATGCTGGTTCAGGTCGGATGAATACAATTTTTTTTATTATGAATTGTGTAATAACATTATATTTACTCTAAACGCTGCCGCCGCCAATGTACTTCCGGTGCATTTAGCGCCACTGCTAACCGTGGGCGTGGGTCTAGGTGTCTGAACATCAGCTGAGCTCACCGTTCTTTTCTCGTATCTAACGTTTCCATTTCAAAAAACGAAGTACAGCACTAGCACATTAATCTTAAAAAGCTTACAATTTCATATTAAGTACTTTTAAAATAAATAATACGTAATACCAAAGCTGTTAAATTATATAATTAGTTCTAAGTTGTATGTTTATGGGTTATAGTCAATCAATTTATTCCTATAGCAATATTATTCAAAACTAACATTACACAGCACAAAACCAATACTAAAACCAACGTGTTCTCACAAAGGGTAAGGGGTAAACAAAGGTACGTTGTTCAAACAGAACCAACAAAGAACATTAAAATAATAACCTACGCAAAGGTAATATTATGTAGAGCATAATAATTTATAGAACTAGTGTCCTCTTTTGTTACCTTCGTTTCCAAAGGTCATATAATGTTGAATATTGAAATCTCATGCTCGAACTATTAATTGATTAGCTTCTTCTATAATAGACATGTACAAAATATAATACTTGAAACACATTTTACTTTAATGTAGTTTATAGACAATAAAATACATAAACATGTTATTAAAAGCTAAAGTATAGTTCAAAGCACTTTGGCGCGTGAGTCATACACCCTTTTAATTAACATGAAAACAACATATCACTAATTGGGTAAAAACCATTAAAACATTATCTGTACTCAACCCTTTAACCTACTTTCAGTGCAAAGGAAATAAACGCCACTAAATTACACTGAAAAGTTGAATGTATACTAAGATCTGTTAAACGATTTTGCTCGGCCTTATATAATAATGAATACGGGTTTTGATGAGCTCTTTGCTCCAATAGTAGCAATGTTTGGCTATCAAGACGTTGTGGGTTTGATCTCCGCTGAGGCCAGCACGTTTCCAATCAATTTATTATTTTTCTTGAACATAGGAATATGGAAATTCCGACCGGATTACGAACCACAATTCACAGATGTAAAAGCCGTGAAGTTGAATCGCGTTTGTCAGACTTCCTCTATCATAAAAAAAAATTTAATAAAAAAGTATCTTATGAAAAAAGGTTTAGAAAACGGTGAGCAAGATCCCTTACTAAGTTATACGGCCATTTGTCGAATGTTTTGTTTTATCTAGTCCATTATTACATGCAGAAATTGTTTCGGTACAAGGTAACCTGCCTTTTGGGCTCTCATTGATAACAATAAATCTACCGTTAATTTATAGATGTTTCCTTTACAAAGAGGAAACTTCTATAAATTAGGGCAGCAAAAGCTTTTTTGTGTTATTTTAATCTTAGTAACAAAAAGTTATTTCAGTAAGTTTATCTCAATGAGCAATAAATAGGATTTTGCGTGCTTTTGTCGATTTCATACAGATTTGAACACTTTGCAAACAAATAAATAATAAACACTTGAGTGGATTACCACTTTCTTTTTTTTTAAATTATTACATTTTAAAAAAAAAAAAAATTTAAAATTAAAAAAAAAAAAAACCCCCCCCCCCCCGGGGGGAATTAATAAAAAAAAAAAAAACAAAGCTATCATAGTATATATACCATTTAAAATACCATAGCCGTACAAAATAACAAAATTAGTAGTAATAAATAGTTTTGAAGACACTATTTTTATTGATAGAAAAGTTGTACAGCAAGGTCACTGAGTTATTAAACTCGCATTAGATAGATAACACTAGTCCTTCAGTGCGCTGTATTACTCACGCCGATGTAATTAGTAATTACTATATTTTTTACAATGTAATATTACAATACTATATTTTATTAATTATTCATTCAGTTACAAAATTCGTAGCTTATGCAGTGGTATGTGCTACGGCGTAGACTTGAAAAAGGAGAGAAATCTATTCTTAATTGAGCGAAAGAATTTGTTTGTTTTTGTATGTAAAAGAATAGAAAACTGAACTGTTGGAAAAACTGGAAGGATTAATCCCACCTGGGCATAACATATACTTTGTTTCATTATAATCGAATTCATTTAATAAAAACGAAATAAACAAATGTACAATGCCGACAACTAATATATCGCGTTTTAAACCGTTAAAGTGTTTTATTTAAAAAAAAATTCATAGCTTTTGCAACTTGTACGGATAACTTAAGAATTTACAACTGACGTTGTATATATTATTAATATATCAAACTGCCTTTTAACGTAAGGATTTGTGTTAATTTGTTACACACTGTCCTCATATATACATTTTATGTTTGACTAATTATAAAAATATTTCTTGCTGTATGGATGCGCCTCATTTATATGGTTTGAAGTGGACAGAGAACTGTGGTAGAGTGAAGTATGCCCGAGGTTTGCACACTAACGATGTCGTAATGAGATGAATGTTAAAGCCGCTCTTTACCTGTGGGGATTTTAATTAGGGCACATTCTTAAATATTTTGTTTAACCCAACGCCCTGCTATTTTAGGTGAGTTATTTTTGTAAAACTCGTGGTTTAGTCTATACATGCAGAGGATATCTAGGTGATTATCTTTTAATTAGTATTCACATATATTATTAAAAAAATATATACGTTAACCATGAAAAATCATTTTTATATGGTAATGTAAAAAGTTTTGTAATTTAAAATATATGCGGGTAACCTAGATATGTATATGAAATTGAATTTATTTGATAGAACGGTTACATGAATACATAAGTAATCAATTCTCACACATATCCAAGCGACACATATATTTAACCACACAACACAAATAATATACACGGTGGTAAAAGCGCCGATCTATAAAGGATATAACAAGATATTGCAAAATATTATCTTATAAGTATTATCTTATAAAGAGATTGATCTGAAGAACAGTAAAACTGAAGCACTATAAAAAGTTATCGAAATCACCTCACGTTTGACCTAAATCATGCTGATTTACATAGTGAAGTAGAAACACTCAGAATAGGAACGTGACTGAAATTATATCAAATTGACGGACAAATACACACGAAAATATAAAATTGTTTTACTTCGTTTTTTGTTTAATGTACTTACAAACAGATTATAAGTCAAATTCTCACTAACCTGATTTTATAAAAACTTGTGAAATTAATGAGTTAAATAAATTACAAACTCAGGGATAATAAAAAGATTTTACTGACTCCTCAACAACAATATATAAATTGGAGACCATCAGACCCTAGCTTCTTCTCAGTTTGCATTTTACTGGGTTATTTCTTTTTTAGTGCCGTAGTTTGCGCAATACGTTACGCCTTTTCTTTATGCCAAGGATACAATATGTTAAGTGTTTTGCGAACTTCTTAGAAACAAAATATTAATGCCAATATTTTTTTTTAAACGTTTCTCGAGACATAGATTCTAAAGAGAGAAATAAAAAAAAACGTTGATTTCATAAAACTACAGAAATCCATTGTCACCGACAATGAAGTTATATAGGTAGATCGGTCTATACTGAAAAAATAGAATCTATAGTAATATATAAAGCTGAAAAGTTTTTTTGTTTTATTCGGACGAAGTCAGACACAGACACAGCTAGTTTATTATATTTTTACAGATAATCTTCTAAAATTTTCTAAATAGTTGGTTTAAAATGCGCATTGGTTTGAGCTTGAAACATGCTTAATTTTAAAAACACATTAACTGTTTTAAGAAAATAATGAATAATTCTTGCCTGTTATTACCAAAGATTTATGTTGGGTCGGATATAGGACTGGGATAGTTTCAAATGCGCGCTTCGTATGTGAGTCGATAAATCTTCTGTACCTGTAGAATTTCAAACTGATTTAAGTTAACGAATTGCAGATAAGGTTGTAAAATAAACAAAAAAATGTAATTACGTTTTAATTTCAATTGAATAAATTGCAAATTGTTTCAAAATCAACGAAGAATTTTTATAAAATGCAAGACTTTTTTAAAATTCAATACGAGGGTCAACTGACGATAAAAAGGTCGAAATAATATAATAGTGTACATGAGACTAAATCAAACTTACTCATCACATACTAAATATTACCGAAAAACAATTTTAGGAAAAACTTACTTATTTATTGAACTGTGGAAAATGTACATACAATAAATGGTTCATTGTACAAGTATCTTGCAATAATTGAGTAGACACGATTATGAAGAGGCTGTCACAACTCGTAAATGTGAAACGGTGATGTAATGGGCTTCAAGTGAGCTTTTGTGTCTTGAGTGCTTGTCAAAAGCGTAGACTTATTAAGTGGCTTCTTGTCTATTAAGTGTTGTTGCTATTATTTTATCAATATGTTTAAGACATTAGAGATTACACTAGTCGTTCATTAGATTCGCTAAATTGCGTAACAAATAAGTTCGAGTGTCTCTCACTCGACAGTGACTAATTCTCTCTCCATTTTGTTTTTATTTTGATATTTTTAAGATTTATTTTTTTTTGTTTGTGCAGTAAACATATATACAGCATCGATTAAATGACTATTGCTATTATTATTTAAACAAATGTACAGAAGAAAGAACACGTTGGCTATGATTTTAGTAGTTTAATAATAAAATCATGTCTGTAGAAATGTAAAAAAAAGTTAATGTGAATTTTCTGACAAAGATCCACTTTGCCAGGAAAATATTGGACAAACTTTCGTTTCATGTAAAGAAGGCGGCAACACTCGACTAATGCGATTGTTTTACGAGTTCGCCCGAAGTTATTACGTAACCAAGATGAAGTAAATGTCAGGCTCAAGGCGAAATTAAACAGTCTTGCTAAGTAAAGTAATATTCTATAGTTGACACGAGTAGTATACATTAAAATGACACACAAAAAGACACATTTCACGGTTTAAAACATGATATAAATTAGTTAACTTATTTTTAACTACGGCCTGGCCCGTAGTTTCGGATGCAGTATTCGTGATCCCGGGCAAGTTAACTATTAAATTTTGCTTTTTAAACCATTGATAGTAATATTAGTATTAATTAAGTAATATTAGATAGTAATAGTTAATATATATAACTATATAATATACAACTTTTCCAGTATTTTCATTTCCTTAGCGACTTAATTATTAAACCGTATTGGTTGTATGGTTGCATGATTTTTGCGATAGGATTAGTCATAGCAGAAAATGTTTAAAGTAAATAGACGTATTTTAACTATCTAATGAAACGGCGCGTAAAAGCTGGCTGAAAAAGCTCAAAAATACTTTCTTAAGTATCTTTCTAAATAGATTTTCTTTTGTTTTAGCTGCTCCACAGCAATGCTTTGTGCTGCTATCATGACAGAGCATTGGGAGCATGTGTCATGGGAACGAAACGCGTTAGCAGCTCTCGCAAATGCATCGAACACTGCACTGCAGTGGCTGCTAGATGAAAAGGTTGTAAAGGTAAGGATTTACTTTTTATCTCCTCTTCCACTCGACGAAGTTCGCTTTCATAAAAGTTCATTCATGTTTTTCGTTATCTTTGGGACCATGTCTTGCAAATATTTTTCTTACTTCAGTCCTATTTCTCTGCTTTACATGTTTCAATAGTTAAGTGCCGGAGATGTGCTGTCGTGATTCCGATTAAGAATAATAGTTCCAGACGGATCTATTTACTTGCCTGTTATTAAAATCAAAGTTACACACACAAGCACTAAATGTAAGCCACATTATATTTTTAGGGTCATTTATGTATATACTGCCTGTAGCAGACGCGAGCAGCACACATTTAAATAAAACACTTTAACGGTTTAAAACGTTAATATATTAGTTAAACTGATGCATTGCAACAGCCATGGTCACGGCATCCAAAACGTCGAGCCATAGTCAAAATTAAAGTATTTTATTTAAATCATTTATGTAAATCAACGCCGGAGGAGCGGTCTATCAGGTCCTTCAAACCTATTGGACATTAGGAAATACGTGCTACGGTGCTACGGCGTAGCGTTTTATTATTAATAAGAACAAGTTAAATCTGGATTTATGTTTATACCTTCGTATTTCTGCGCTGTCTGGACACCCAAGACATCTCATTTTACGACTCAAACATAATATACTTCTAAATGAGAAATCGAATAATCCCCCGGAGAAATCTATCACTTACTTCGATTTGAAGTTGTGTTTGCTACGAAATTTATGAGGTGTCTGGAAAAGGGTAGAACTTCGTTACTTTAGTTTTGGAGGTAACTCGTTTAAATGTTCTCTACTTGTTTTGGAATGCGTAATGTTTATATATTTTTCTCTTGATAGTATAGAAATGCAGGCGTTGAATTACGATGAAGAGTAACTTACAAAAAACTGAAAACCTGAAGCTATTCATTACATCCGAATAAGAAGTTATTATCATTGTAATGTTGTGAAAAACATGTTTTTTTTTATATTTTATAGCCATGAAACAGAGCTACAATAACCCGAAACCTTAATAACTTGTTTTTATTTTACACAAAAAGGACTCTTTTAGAGTATTTATGTAAACATCTAAAAATGAACACTTTATACGTTGTGAAACGACTATTCTACCGCCACAATATAAGTCAACGTTAATTTTTCACACATTTATGATAAGAGGTTATTAAGCAGTTATGCAAATCTGTGACCTCGGAGTGTTTCACGATTTATAGAAATTACTCAAATAGCATTAGCGAACGCCATATTTAATACAGTAAGACCTTCCATTTTTCCTCTAATAACACATACTTATAATTGCGAATTTACTGGTCGATTCCAATTTTCACGATGACAAATTGTCCTTCTTGGAATTGAATAGTAACACTATGTGCTATTAATAATTAATCTTCTTATTTTTTAATTATAAAGCAACGTACACATTTAAATAAAACACTTTAACGGTTTAAAATGCGTTATAGTAGTTATTAGTTGTTAACTTATTTGAAAATTGAGTCTGTGACCACGGCTGCTGCAAAGCATCGTCGGGCCGAAGTTAAAAATCATTTTCAAATAAGCTTTACTAATATATCGCGTTTTAAACCATTAAAGTGTTTTATTTAATTTAAGCAACGTTATAATTGTTAGAATTAAAGATTTTTGCCACATGTATGCTAAAGTGGCCGGGTGTGGAAATTTTTAAAGTAGCATTCACCAGTCTTTATTTTCATTCATATTTATTTCAGTAGAATATTAAGTAAAAGCGATGATAATGAAGGCACATTCTAAATTAACAAAGTTGTTTCATAGTGGATATAGTGGATTTATTCTATTAAAAACTAACCTTATAATAAATAAATAATAATATTAAATATACGCACAATACATAATTGCGTTCGTTAATAAAACAAAGGACAAATCTAACTAAGAAAGTTATATGAGTCCTCAAGCTTGTAAGAAAGACTTAAACTAGTAACACGTACTCGAGTTAGTTAGTAATTTTCCCGCAATACTTCTGTGAAATTCTGCACACGTGTATAAGTTCACCAACCCTCTCGACCTTTTACTCGATATCGTCGTTTTTCTCAACATCATAGAAATGTACTACAGTCTGTGGTTTGTATGGATACCATTGTATTAGTGTGTAACTTTTCACTACACACACACACACTCGAATAACACTAAGGAAAATTACTATTACCCTTCTTAACATTGCATTAAAAATAAATATATCAACATTCGTTATTATTATTAGAGTTTTCATTGGAAAATTTAAGAAATACATTCTGTATCGCTCGTAGCTTAAAATGAAGACTCTTTCCTAAATCATCAACACAGCACATATTGATATAAATTAACAAAACTCTAATACAATGATTCTAAATTTATTTGGACAAAGCTGAGATAGATATGTAAAATACTTTCTCTTCAATAAATACTTTGACAAAGAAAAATTATCAAGATGAATAAAATTCGCATCCAAAGAAGGCAATTTGTCTACGTCCACATTTTTCCTTTGGAATGAGATTTTTTGCAAAGCTTCTATTTCACTTGTTCTTAATGGCGATTTGATATCTTGTGACAGGAAATTATGTCACGTTCACTATAATAAAACATATGTACAATCAAATGATTTACAATCTAAACACTTTTAACGATCTAAACGCGAAATGTATTATTTATATTTAAACTTAAACTTAATTAACTTTAGTTTTAAATAATTAAGTTAATACAAGATATTAGCTCTAGATATCTATTTTAACAGATTATATTTTTCAGCAGTGGGGTAAAAAAGTTTCACTATTCTCTTTTATTGTTGTCAATGTGTGATTTCACCGTCTGAGCTTTTCCCATACCGTTAGATAAATACGAGGTCAAGGTGCCGTAATTATATGAAAGCTATGCGTTCCGCAATCGCTTGCCGACCTTGATAATGCACGCGATACTTTTGTTACTTTTATTATTTCCTTAACTTTTCAAGCCCAAATGACATTTATTGACAGGAAAAGTTAATGACGCTATTATGTCACAGCATAACTTAGCGTAGAAAATATAGAAAGGGCTACGGCGTAGGCTTGCTACGAAACGAATCAAATCTTTTTAATAAACACTTTAACTGTTTAAAACGTGATATATATTAGTTAAACTTATTTTAACTAAGGGCCGACGTTTCTGACCACATCTCCCCGTGACCAAGGGTGTTGCAAAGCATCCGAAACGTTGGGACGTAGTTAAATTTTTTTTTGGAAATAATTTTACCTAATACATATTGCGTTTTAAACCGTTAAAGTATTTTAATTAAATGTGTACTACTCGCATAAACTGCAGACAGTATTTGACTCAAATCTTTCAAAGTTTTCTTCTTGAACAGTTTAAGTTAAGTGTTAAAACTAACTCCATGCTTCATAGCCCAATTCATGCGTTGCATTAAACACATAAAGTCCTGGAAAGGATTAAGTCTCGGAAAAGGCAAAACGTATTCTGATAATCTACTTGCCTATAGACAAAAATAGTATACCTATACAAAGGAAACGGAATTTCACGTTTATATGGTTAATATTAAAACCTTGACAGATAATCTCTGATTTTTACGATCAGTCCTATAAATCTCAAAGGCTTACTTATGAATAGTGATTTTCTCTGATGTCGAAATGCTGCCGAATGCAATTCACTGATTGTAAATACCTGTCTCATTCAGCGTCGTTAATTCCAGCGACCTCGTTCAAAAGAATGAATAACAAATCGACATTAATTACTCGGTATTTGTTGCCGATTTTACGACAAATCCGACGAATTCAGACGCTTCAGGTTTTAAGTAATTTTTTGGAGAGCGCACTAATATTTCTGGGAAACCTTTTTAGCGGTAGACCAAGTTTTGAACGAGTGCCAACGACTTCTTCATAAGCTGTTGTATATTTCATGTGTGTGCATAGGGCGGATACATTTCTGTGTCCCTTTCACCGATGGGTTTTTATTGACTTCTGTGTTCTTTTGCCGGGATTCGAACCCAGGACTTTTCTAGGCAACACTCGTGTTAAATCAATTTGACTACAGAGGCGATATATTTTATATAAAAAATCTTAATTTTTATGAAAATTGTATCTCTAGACCTTACGTGGACTATAGTCAAGATGGATTAAACGAGATCGTCCGACACTAAATCTTCGTAAAGCCTGTAATGCGGACATTTGTTTTACGGCCCGCCATATCCTTATTCAAGATACTGCAGTCTTTGGCGATATTCCAAGGAATCGGCGCTTACCTAATTCATGAAACTATATTGCAGGTTGAAGATACGAATAAGAAAAAGGGTGGTGGAACATTTTTGGTTCCTATGAACGGCGGTATTTGGAAGATGTGCGTGTCTTTACAAGGTAAGGTTGAAACCAACTCTTTAATTAATTTGCGATTTGAGCTTGCGTTTTATTTTAATACAAGCGATTAGTGATATTATATTCAAAATTAAAAAGCGATAATAGATTGAAAAAAATGTACGACAGGGTAAGACTTGAACCGGCATCAACAGCGTTCCGTGATGTTCTGACTATGATTGCACTACTAGCGCAATAACATGTAATAGTACATTAGATATAAGTGCGGTAAGTCGAAAATCACAGCCGAGGCGATATTACGCCCTCGCCGGTGGTTAGGGCTATAAGAAAGCAGAGGCTGTAATTTTCAAAGCGTACGTATGTCATATGACGTTTTATATGTTATAATTTACGAGGAAATTAATAAAACTCTAACTTAGTTAAACGAATAAATCTTTAATTAATTCTTAAAGCAGTTATAAAAATTTGAACAATTTTTTGTTATATTTTATTTCCCAAAGTTAATTCTATTCATAAAATATTGACCACTTTCTTGACATAAAACCTCATTGCTAAGATTTTTAAAAGTATCGTTCATTTTTAGACGGAGTATCTTAAAACTTTATTTAAAAAAAACACGTGCCTTTTACATTACATTATCGCACAAGTACGTAATGAGATACATTACGATATTGAAATTGGTGTAATTACAACCACTTTACGAGCAAATATGTTATAAAAAATATTAAATTAATTGTAACAATATTAAAGTTTTTAAGCCATTAAGACTCAATGTCCACGCTATGTAAAAGTCTTCCCACCTTATTAAAAAAATAAAAGAGATATACTAACCCATTATACACACTAAATATAGAAAACATAAAATAAATAGCAGAATCAGAATACTTGTATATAGCAAGGGTATAGCTACTTTTACACTGATGTAATTTATGTAGAATAAAGTAGATAAATTTTAGGAGTACAAAACTAACAATTTAACATGACCTTGCATAGATAAATTGTATATTAAAAAAAACATTATCCGTATTGAAAAAATTCTAAAGCCATTGAGAAAAACATATGGACCGCAAAACAAAAACTTTAATTACGAATATTGAGATGAGTTTTCGGTACACAATAGTAGCTCAAAACCGAATATATTTTTTCAACAATATTTCTATTCAAACATTCCAACTATACTATTGTAATATGGCATTGAAAATCCATGTTGGAGAAAATTCGAATGTGCTTTTTAAAGCTTACATAGTCGAATACTTTTAATAAGGTATTCGATGTTGAGTATTTATATAAAAATATTTCAATTTTCAGGTTGTGTTTGTTTTTAGTTTAATTGTTGAATGTATTTCAATTGAAACAAATAACGATCGTAAGAATTTAATTTCAGAGGAAGAAGTATCGTTATTGTCAAGGGCTGGATTCCCGATGGAGCCGCTGTGCACAAATTATTTAGCAGACGATGAAAACGAGGAGCCGAGGGCCGATTGGCAGCATCGTTAGTTTTTTGTGTTATTGGATTTCACTTTTTACTAAGAACAGTGTATAAGAATATAAATTTTAATACACACGTTTTACATATATAATACACATTTAAAAATGAAGACTATTTTATCTACATATTAGTACTAAGAGGGATCTTACACTAGGTTACAATATCCTTAAGGTTTAGTTTTTTTGTCTTATATATACACTTTCATAAAAAATAATTTCCCGTATCTTTGGGGGGGGGGGGTTTGGCCGCGCGGTGTGTTTTTTTTTTTTGGGGGGGGGGGGGGGGGGGGTTCCCCCCCCATTTTGTTCTATTTGTACAAGTGAATATAAATATATTTTCATTAATATGTTCCCAAACTAGGCACTGCCTGTCTAATGGGTACCAATTCGAATACATGTTAGTTATAGGATAGAATAGTTATATTAAAAAATAGATAGGTTTATTTTTGCATTGTTGCTTGGATTATAACAAAATTATTTTGAACTCATTTCATATTTCCTACAGGAATGCAGAATCTATCAATATCATGCGCGCTAGTTTGCCTCATAGTCTTGGGAAGTGCTGCACTGGTTGGGGCTTTCGGAGTTTGTAAGCATCAAATCAGTGCTGTACTAATTACAGGTGTTATGTATCTTTTAGCTGGTAAGTAGTGTTAACTTTGATAACATCTCTTAAAAAGGGTAAAATATTCGTGATGTAACGTGTTACGTCTGCTTAACTTCCCTTTCTCTAAATAATTTTAATTGGATTATGTATTTTTATATTTCACTTCGTACGCGTTCACTAACATTAGGGTATATATAAACACTGTCTACGTCCTATTTGAAAATGAAATCAGGTTATTAGCATTTCTTCAAATAAGATTACACTAGGCTTACATACGTTAGTAAGTAATTACTCTGTTTTCATAGCTTACAGTACTTATACGAAACGTAGAAACGTTAAGAAACTCCTAACAATTGCAATGTATGAAAAAATCAAATATGGGCTAGTTAATAACAATTAAGATTTTTTATCCTACTATAACTGTTTTTAGGTCTTTTCGCGATGTTTACCCTAATGATAATTCACTTCAAAAGAGTACAAAGGGTATCAACACGAGGAAGTCCCCACGAAGATGACACCGCCGACGGGGTGGTAGGTCCACGTGGGCCGGCTCTCCCCCTACTATCTGCAAGAGAATTCACCACCTCCTGGTCACTGGAACTAGGCTGGGGTGGGGTCGTACTAGCTACAACAACTTCTATACTATGGATCTTATTGTCGAAGATAATGAGATATAACCCTTTATCCACTATGTTGTTGTAAATGGATTTACTCCGAACGCATCTACGACACTCTTGATAGCATTTTATCAACTCAAACGCTTAAACCAACCTTGTTCTTATTTTTTACTTTCTTGAAGTACATTAATTTAATTTGAAGGTACAAATAAAATTCCTTAAAAAAATATCTTAATAAGTACATTCTCTACTTGTGGTCTTCTGAAATGACCATTTCCCTTTCGAAGTGAAAATTCATTTTTACATAATTTAGGGACCTCTTATTACAATGAAATCCCCTACTCTATAAAGAACTAAATTGATTGAATCAAAAGGAAATTACTTGTCAAAAGTCTCGTTCGTGCGTTTGGTCCTCAAATTATTATGCGAAGTCGTTTTGGATTTATAATTTAAGCATCTAGGTATCGGCTTGCTGCATACTAATTAAGAATTTCCATAATGCCTTCGTATTACGGGTCAATTAATGTTTTAACATCGTTATGATTTATACACCCTATTCTGACTTTAATATTTATGCCTACTATATTGACGTAGATCTCAAAGTGCTATAACTATCTATAGTCTAAACAATTAGAAGCGATAAAATCTAACTACGGCAACGTTCTCCTACGAAAATCGAAATACATTGAATTAAAATGTGAATCTATAAATTTTAATGGTGTTGCCGTCCCGTACCCTTTTTTCTCGTATCTTTTCCCGGGGCCCCGAGGGGTGGGATTGGCCTCGGCTACAATGGGAGTGGAAGCTTGAGGAGCTGGACGGAAGAATGACTTTCGCCAGCGATGACGGTTTCGCGAACGATCGGCGCCCGCGCGGCGGACCGCACCGTTATTAATTTCCCATTCCTAGATAGCAAAACAAGTGAAACATCGTTCGTAACATTGGTTCAACTACCAGTCCCAACTTAAAAAAAAGTAATTCTAGTTTGCGTCCGCATCGTACCAATCTAACGAACGTACATGCGTTATATGCTAACTTTGCCTAATGCCTATGTGCACTTAATGTTTGTTATTAATATTATAATATTTTATTCCTGTTATTGCTGCAGTTTCATATTTAAGCTTACAACGAATTTGGATGTATATTTCAAAAACATTTTCCTTAATAATGACGTCGGCTATTTTATACACGCTATTGTCTATGCCTTTAAAACTTCTACATTACATTAATATAATTATTTATTTACAAAAAAGAATGGTGCTGAGAAATTCAAGTTTTATTTAATATGCTATTTATTATATAGAAGCGTGTAATGGGTGTATGACAAACTTTAATAACTGTTTATATTGGCACATACTTGAAATACACAACTTAAGAATCACTTAATAAGGTATATTAGAGAAGTTCCTTATGTAGTGGTTACTTATATTTTATCTTTAACCTAAGTAGAAATTACTTTTCTTTTATGTATTATGTGGTTTAGATATACATAAATGTTTTTAAAGAAACCAAGTTTCTAGTGTAATATTGTAAAAAAAATTTGCAAAATCCGGTTATCGGCCCTGTACCGCATTTTAATTTTATTGTGTTAGTTCATAGATAGTAATAGAAATACATGTATCTAGAATATACATGGGGCAGTAAGCGTTGTGATGATGATTTAGACAAATATGGTTACCATTTTGGTATGAAAATTAATCTAGGCATTTAAATAACAATAAGTAGGTTTTAACGTGAGTTCTTACCACTATTCTACCATTTCATTTCAGTGATATGGCAATGATTAGTTTCCTTTCAAAGGTAATATTAATCCGGCTCGAAGGACCACTATTTATGAAACAATAAACTTTGAACAGTGTGCTTTGCTCAAAGTACATAATAAATAACAGTCTATAAAATGCATAATTTTTGACACTTGTATTTAGTGAAAGAAAATCATAAATAGATCCTTCCTGGCTGATAAAAGCTTTCAACATTAGCGCATAGTTTAATAGTTGCAACAGCTTTACGCACTAGCAAAGTTAAAGTTTGTAAAATTAATTGTGATAATTGCTAGTCATGTTAAGATTTTGTTATTAAAGCAATATTTTTCCTCTTGTTTTTTATTTATATAATCTTAGCATAAGCCTACAATGAAATCTTCGTAAAACGTAGTAATCTTATAAAACGCTATGAAGAGTGTTAGAGAACTTTGTATAATTAGATTTTATAAATACAAACGAGACAATGAACGATCGATATATTCTTCCTTAAATATGGTTACCCTATTATCCTGTTAATAATACAGAACCCACTTTTTGTTTTTGTTTGTGGGTGGGATAGATAGATATAAAATATGTGTGAAAATAACTAGAGATCTAATTTTAAGGCAACTAATTTTGCAGATAAAACAAGTTTCAGCATATCAGATGTTAATGACTGGAAAGTTTCCGGACAGTGTAAAGAACGAATCTAAGTTTAGACATCCTAACCCTCAATTTTTTTAAGGTAAGTGAATTTAAACATTTAAATACTAACCAAAAATTGGATAAAAATTAAAAATATTTATTTCTTAACAATATTTACAAATACATACAACAGAACAATATTAGTGACGAAACATATTATCACACAGGAGTTTAAATTAGTCATCTCGAAGTAATTGTTCCTCTATATCGATATCTTCTGCTTTCCGTTTCTTGCCTTTAGGCCGTTTGCCGTGCATCGAATCTAATTTGATTCGTTTCGCTTGCTTCTTCTTTTCACGCAACTGTAGTTTTCGTTTTGCAGCTTTTTCTGGGTTATTCACTTTTTCTTGTAATAAAATCTAAAAGGGGGTAAAAAGTTTAGAGGTTTAGATAAGTTACACGAACTAAGCTGCTTCAAATTATAAGTATTTTATTTTACTATTTTTAATATAATTATAATATTGCTTAAATCTGAAGAATAATTAAAATAAGTATATTCATAAGAACACTAACCTTTTTCCGTTCAGCCCTCTTAATATTCAACTTAGTCTGTACTTCAGCAGCTAGTTTTCCATATTCAATCTCCCCAATTTTCCTTCTCAGCTTTTTGCCTAATCTACTGGCTAACTGTTTGCCTATTGTCGCCGGCGTTGCTGAGTCACCAGTAGATACTTCTCGAACTATCGGCGGCAGTATTACGTCAATTATTTTATTCAAATCTTCGGTCTCAAGAAGCCCAATAAAATGAAGCCACATTGTGAATATTGCGTTCCTCTGAAAAAGGCATTACAAAAATAATTCTAATCAATCAGTATACTAGCTTTAAATAGCGAAAAACGAAAACTATTGACTACTTGGAATCAACATAGTCAATGTTTTCCTTGTTTCTATAGAAAAAAGAAACTATAAAAAAGGAAAAATTTTCTGTAATGTTTTGATTTGAACAATATATACTTTTATATTTTTGTTGATGTTTATAATTGCACTTAAACTAAATAAAAACACGAGTAACCTCAAATATAATACATTTTACTACTTACAATGTTCATGCATGTTGGTGCTTTGGCTACTTCAGCATTGATTGCCCTTCTCAATTTGAACAAAATCCACCTTATATTCACTTTAGCTGTTTTATCTTGGTCTATATCGTCGGCTTCTTTTTTATTTGTTACTTTGAACATCGCTAACGAATGTACTAGTTTTAATATAGTAAACAGTACTTGTGTCACCTGTAATTAGAAAAAATAACTTAATACAGTAAAAAGTAATGTAATTTTGAAAGTCATGGATGGCTGTACCTGTTGGCTTAATAGGCTTAGAGGGCCAGACTTTTTGTGCGGCAAATTTGGGAACCAACCTCTTTGCTACTACATAACTAACAATTTAAAAAGGTTGTAAAACAAATCTGCAGCTTTCACAGTTGGGTGGAGTTAGTTTGAAAAATAACACCTTCTATGTGATAAGAAAACACTTCTTCATGCAGAAAAAACACTTCTCAGAGAGATACATGTTATTGTGAAAAGAAAGACATCTCAGTGTTGAAAGAAATACAGGACGTATTGTTCAGTTTAAAACACTTTTCGGTATGAAAAGGGAAGTAAATAATTTTAATAATCAGTAATCCTAAAGGATACAGTTTTCTTTTTAAATAATATACTGTTTAAAAAAGTAAATATTTTCCAAGATTAAAATTGTCTAAAACAAGTAGAGAGTAATCAATTATCTTAATATAAATTAAAAGATCATAACTAATAAGTTGAATGTACCTGGTCCGCCATATCCTTTCCTACATTAGGCGTATATTGCGCACATAAATCTAACACGAGGCTTCGTATCGAATCCTCTACATCACAGTATATAAAACCTCTTTCCGTCTCATTTTTACATTCCTGTAAATATTCATAATCCACATTACTGAGAATGTGTCCTAAAATCTTTGCTGCCCTTAATCTAACCCAGGCATGCGGGTACGCCAGCAAGGCCTGGCAATACTGCGCTATGTCATCATAATCGGAATAAAAATTTTCATCTTTCAATGAAGTAGGGCACTGTTCCACTATTCTGTCTATTAGATTCAAAATTTGGATTAAACTGTGATCCTTCTCTTTTTGTTGCTCTTCGTCGGTTTTCTCTGTGTTATTAAGACGTATTTTGACGAAGCGGCCTTCGGTTATATCGTTGCTGAGAAGAAGTATTTTTCCACTTAGTATTGGGAGGACGGCATCGATGCGGTTTTTAAAGTTTTTCTCCTCTACGTTTACAAAACGCGTGCATAGCTGTGCGGCTAATTCAAAATGTATAGCCTGCAATAAAGACAATTTTTCATCTATAAATTTTAATTGTGTTACAAGTAGATGGAGTTAAAGAATGAGAAATGTCACTATATGACAATATCTTAAGGGAATCCAATAGAATTGATTGCTAAGGCGTAATAGATCATCCTCCATGTCTAAATAAGGGGAACAATTTTATACAAGAATGATAAAGTCTTACACTTAGAATAACATATTTTGACTTGTCAAATAAAGCTGTAATGTTTATATACTCAGTATCTAGGGGCATATCTATATGAATAAATAAAAAATCTTGCTATCATATACCTGCGTATCTTCAAACAAGCGCAAAACGAGCTGGAACAATGTGTTTCTGAGTGTAGGCCTGACACGTCTTAAAAGGGTCTCGATACATCCCGCTGCGTCGCGGCGGCATTCAACAGCGCTATCGTTCACCATACACGCTCCAAGAGACACCAACATGTATTCACAGTGCTTCTCGAGGAATACCTGCAAATATTCATATAAAAAATTAACAAAGTATAACTGATGAAATTAATAACATTCGTCACAAAGCTTTAAACACGTAAAGTAATGTCCTAAATACTGTTATTAGTTTCCTAGACGAAGGCGTTCGGTGAACCAAGAATTTAACAAAACAGTACTAAGTTCCGGATCAATTTTAATGGGGTCGTTGATAAATATGTATGGCTAATAATTAACGACCATTCCGACCAGTCCAACATTTTTTAAATCAATTTATAGACTTCGTCTGCAAATATGGATATTATATGAGTTTTGGTATTCCTACCGAATACCAATATTCCCCCTGGGTCACGAACCACCAGCCAGAGATGAAAAAGCCATCAAGCTTAATCGCATTCCGGTTTCAGTCTATGGATATCCAAATATCCAAAGCGAAAATAAGTCGACAGCCCATCTAGTTTAGATGTAATAAGGCTGGGAACGGGCTATTTCACCTACTTTAATGTGAACCCCATGACATTTTTTCCACGTAATGAAATAAAATTGTTCATTTAATAGCTTACAGAAGACGGATGCATACTAACCTGGCTTAGTTTACTAATAATCATGTCCAAGAACTTAAGCGATGACTCTCTACCGTGCTGCAGCTCATAGTTGAGTTGTGCCAAAAAGAACTCTATGTATTTCTCCATTCGTTTACCTGGCGAGTAGTTTGTCAAATAAGTAAGAAATATTCCCCTGGCATCGTCCCTGAAAGAGAAGCAACTTAGGTTAGCCAAGCATCGTTTTGGTACGGCGAAGACTTTAAAAGTTTAATAACTTTAATATATTTTTGCATATTATATAAATTGAAAATCTATATAGATTAAAAATAAGTATGACACGAGCGGGACTTAAACCGGTATTCATAGAGATTCATGCAGCTGCTGCCTGGTAAGGTTAAAATTACATTGCCAAAGGTGGCACATGTATCAACGAGTTGAATTTTTGTTTGTTGTATTGAACGAGTCCAATTGTAATTGATATAAATTGTAAAAAAATTGGACATATAGCGTTTTAAACCGATAAAGGTGTCAACTACGGAAGGTACATAATAATAGGGTAGACAAACCTTGACCTCGCGGACTCGCTTAGTATACAAATCTTGGAAACAATTTGCATTACATCGTGTAACTCATTAGACACAAGTTTAGCATCCAATATTGCTTTCAAAAGAGAAAACGAATTCGCCTGTCTTTCTTCATTTTGACAGTCACCCTCAGCGTATAATAATAATATTTTCAACTGTTCTGCTTCCAACGTGTAGTATTTCACATTTCGTATAAGTACTGTTACAGCCTAAAATAAAGATTGAAATTATATACTTGATGATACGTGTCATGGGGCAGGCACATAATTTATTTACAGCTTAGCAATTATTAATATCAATACATATTATTTTATGAGCGGTAGAACTACTAGCCTTCTGTGCCAGACCTAGTATAACCCAGAATCGGACTTACTGCAATGCGTTTTAGTATAACCAATTATAACGGTGTCATAAGAGTCCTATATATGAATGTTAGTTGCTATAATACATACCTTAAAAGCAGTCCTAACTAAGTGATAATTATCATTCTGTTTACTTATTTCAAAAGTCGCATATTTATGTAAAATGGAAAATATTGTCTTCACAATATTTGCAACTATTTCTTCAAGAGTTGGCGTACTAAGACGGATAGTCCACAAAGTAGATATGCACTTCAAGGCCACTGTAATAACCTTGACATGATCACTTTGAATTGCATCTACCAGTAACGGTATGAGCGGATCTACAAATGCTTTGCAATCCACTCTTGAGACCTTCTCTCTCTTCAGTATGACGTAAAGAATGTTCAAACTGAACTCAACTAAAACGTGGGCGTTCGTTTTAGTCGAAGTTCTAACGTGACGCGCTTGAGACTCTTTGTTTCTCTTCGGCGTTTCTGCGATGATAAAACAGTCAGGTTTGGCTCTCAACATTCTTTCTCTCTGGTCTTCTGTCAACACCCGTTTGGGAACGCTCAATACGAATTCCGGTATGCTTTCCGACGCTACACCGTGGAGAAATACGAACAAAGATTCGATGGCGATAAATTTATTTGAAACCAGTCCGCTGCTTATATGCATCAGGGCTTCTTGGACTTTAACGACGACCTTTTTTGAATGATGCTTTTGCAGTACATCTTTAAATGGTAGCAGCAAAGCGATCAAGCTCGACTCCGTTATATTCTGAGCAACAATCATTAATGTCACGTAACTTTTTTTACTAGGTTTCGCTTCCGGTGTTTTGTAGTGCAATTTTTCCACCTCCTTTTCCTCGGAAAGCTGCCCGAATAGATCATTAATGCAAACGTCAAGGATGTATTTAAGATTTTTGTCTATATCCTCAGATTTGAAGTCGGTTTTAAGTGCATCGAGAACTGTATGTATAGTAGCGACCAGTACATGCGCTTGGAAGCCTCTAGTCAGTAGTAAGGTCAAATGTACTAAAAGCACATTCATGTATGATGGACCAACTGTTATCATTACTTTTTTCACGATATCGCGCGCAGCTATCCTCACTTGTTTCAATGGAGATTTTAAGAATGAGCATAGTTTTATTATAATTCTGAAAAGTAAAATGTTAATTGTAGTTTACATACGATATAGTAAAAAAAAATATTTATTTATTTCTCAATTCCGAAAATTTTCTACTAGTTCTAATTCAACGGCACGAACGAATAAGAACTGGCAAAAAGGTTTTGACAGTTACGCTTTAGAAGTCTATCAAACCTCTCCTTTATGTTCTATTTCGCAAAATTAAGAGATCGTACTAAGACAAATGTCGATATGCAGCTTCTTAGGACAGTGTGATGACAGCAAAACACAAACAATGTAATAACATCTAACATTATAAAAGAGGTAATTTTACATTTTAGCGATACTTTACCCAGGTAGTTGGTGCTTGAGCATATCTCCTGGCAATCGTTGCAATAACTTAACGAGAGCTAAAGCAATAGGAACCCTTAACATATCCTCTTCTTGCCGTACAAGACCCATTCGACGACGATTCACTTTGTGCGACTCCTCATGTTCTGTCAGCTTGCCTATTGATCTGTCATAAACACAATAAAAACGTGGTTTAAATGTATTAGAACTAAACCTGGTTTGAATAAAGCTAAAAAAATATTTGGATTGCAAAAATTTGATGATAGGCGGGGCTCTAATGAATTGAGCTGCCGTATATAGATCGTTATGCTCAACAAGTGAAAAAAAGAACGTTTTCAAAAGAATATAGCTTATAACCAAAAATAAAATAAGCACAGAATTAATAAACTAATAATTGATAAAGCATTGGATTCTTAATTCCGACTTTAATATGTAAAAAAAGTCCTTTTGATATAATCAACATACCTATTTAGTTGCGGCAATAATCCAGCTGTTAAAGACTTAATAATTCTATTAGCAACGGAAGGTGACACGCTTGTTACTCTTTCGAAGGCTGGAATATCTGAAGTCTCTTGGGTTTCTACTTCCTCTTCTTTATCACCGTCGTCTTTCATATCAAATTCTTCATTGAATTCATCAATTTCTTCACCTTTTACTCCACCATCAATAGTTATTTCGTCTCCATGCTCATCTAATTCTTTTATTTTATCTTTTTCATCTCGTTCTTTTTCGGAGTTCAACGTACTTTCGTCTTCCATAACTTGTACCTTATTTTCATTTTTATCAATTTTAATACTGTCTAGTAAAGACTTCGGTAATTCAATATTTTTCACTTTTGAGAAGTCAAAATGAAAAGCATCCAAAACACCAATCAATATCCGAGTCAGTTGTTTCTGATGTTCCGTGGAGTGCTTTATTTTATTCAAATAAAGCTTTAGGATTACTTCGTAGTGATACCAGGGCAATAGTCTACAGCAAGTAGATATCACTTCTATGCAGGCATCGATTAAAGTATTTTTATCAGAATATGTATCATCACATATGTACATAGATGCCAATGGCAATATGAAGTTTGTTAACGTCCTTGGTGTGGGACATTTGGTCATTTTTTTTGCTACTTTGCAAAATTTAAGCAATGCTCTCACGCGTCTATGTAATTGAAGGTGACAAGAATTTTCAAAGAAATCAACCTCTATATCTTCTTTGTTCGCTAAAGGTTGTAAGTCAGACAAAACCACATCAGCATCTGGACATTCACGCGTTAATTCACCTAAAATTGTTAAGCTTTCATTGCGCAATATATCATTCTTTTTGTCACGAATACCTGTAGATATCAACGAAAGAACCGTGTCTCTAACAAAGAATTGCCCCTCACTAGTTGATCTATACTTCATGAGTAATTTTGGCAGAATTCTTTTGAGGCACAAACCAGCACTATCACGTAATCCTATGTCTTTTTCAGTGCGGATAAAATAAAAACAATTATTAACAATGAGTATAGCCAGATCGACGTCAATATCATTATTATCTAACATTTCATATATTTTTTTGTAAGCGTCTAATCTTCTATCAAAATCAGGTTGTTCAATCCACCTTTTATTGTAAGCGTTCATTTCACTTATAACATCTGCTATTTTTGTTATCATATCTTTATTAGTCAAGGCATTTTCTCCCATGGTATATAATAATTTAATAAGTAACTTTCTAACTTCTATTAAACTGACTCTATAGAAGAGGATAGCAATATTTTTGATATATTTTTGTGGACATGTGCTATGACCTAATAGATTCATGATGGTATTAACAGCATGTTCCATGTTTTCTTCAGCCATATTCATGCAAACTTTTTTGACAAGGATTGGTAGAAGTAACTTAAGCATATCGTCACACAAGTCAGGACTCGTAACCATTTCCGTTATTCGAGAAAGAATAAGAAGGTCTCTCTTATTAACTGTATTAGATTTAGATGCATTTGCAATTCTTCTCTTCATAACCTCTAAAATATTAGGTAAATGAGGTATTAATATTTTACTGCCAAAATTCAAATCTAACCTTTCACTTTTCAATTCAAGAGTACTCAATGATTCAATTGCTGGAGCATCCATTTCTTCTTCGTCTTCAGTTAGAGTCAACAATTTTTCAACCATGTCTAGTATTACATTGACTACCCCCGATGAAGTTTTTGGTGCCAAGAGAAGTTTAAATAATTCTGGTAAAACTGTCAATGTAGGATCATTTTCTGGATGAGTAATAAGCAAAACGTAATAACGTGGGTTTAAGCACCAAATATTAATCAGTTTAAGTAAGACAGTTGGGCTATGAATACCTTCAATGTGCAGCCTTGGTAATAAGGGCCAAACTAAAGTTTTAAATATAACAATCAACTCATCTTTTTTCCAAGGATATTTATCGAATTGCTCGAATAATTTTCCCAATATAGACAATGCGACTGTCCTCAGATGCTTCATTACTTTGGCGTGGCTTATATGAACTTCGTCGACACGCGCTAGTATTACAGCGAAATATGAACAAATAGCATAGAATACTTTAAAAAGATGTGAAAGTAAATTATCATTCATACACCCACCAAAGTATTGCCTTACAACGTCAAATAAGTTAAGGAGGCTGTGTATTTTCCCAGGGCTAGTCAAAGACTTCAGATTAATATTTTCAGAAAACTTTCGGAATATATCTTGGGGTCCTAAAATAATGTCATCCTTAAAGTGTATAAATGCCATATCCAAAAACATTCTTAGTTCTGTTTCATTGCAACCACTTAGATATCTCATAACTAAGGCCCGTCGGCTTTGGCCTCCTCCTTTTTTATCTGCCCCTAATTTAGAAGTCATTTTACCATACAAAATCTTTATTATAATGTGTATAACATGTTCTCTATCCTCTTTATGAATGCTTTCAGAGTCTTCAGTGATTTTAAACTGTGCTAGTTCATCCTTAAACTTCTTTTCATCTACGAGGTTTTGCAAGTTAGTTGTATAGGCGATGACACTTTTATTTTTATAACTCAAAACACAATCCAGGGCATATTTTTGTAGACCGGGATTTTTGTTTTTAAGGAATTCCATATATAGATCCCAGAGAACTGGTTCCTTATGAAGGGCTCTTGGATTTTTGAACTGTGATAACACCTGCATAATATTAATGAGAGTCTTAAAAATAACTTTTCCAGATTCAGAATCCTTCTGGTTGTCTTCAGCTATTTTGATGTCATCTAAATGTACTTCTGATGGATCGTCTACCTCCATCTCTTGATTGGAAATCTCCATCGCTTGCTTACGTTCATGTTTCATTATATCGACATTAAGATCGATACTGTTACGGCGATATTCTTCTTCAATAAACTTAAGGAAAAGAATGACAACATCTCTGTTCTTAGCTTCGCAGGTCTGTATACAATTAGTCATTATTTTCAGAATTAGATTTCTATAATTACAAAAATCTGGTCTTTCTGGTATATTATTATATTCCAAATACAAGTCCTTAATTAGTTTATTTGACATATTGATTTCGTTATCATATTTAAGTTCTTTAACGCTACATTTAGCATTATTAAAAGATTTTTCTAAAGCTTTATAAAACACAAGCCAAAACTCGTCAATTGGTAAAGCGTTGCCAAAGCCCGCTATAAACTCAACAACTGGTTCCCAAAGTAATTTGAAGTTCATGTACAAAAATCCTAACATATAATCAAGGGAAAATAGATGGAAATCGGTTCCCTTTGCCAGCTCATGCTGGGTGCTGTTAAATGCCATTTTTTGTAAAGCAGCAATCTGAGTCCTATATTCTTGTATAGATGGAGTTATTAATTCCACAGTAAAACATTTGGTGAATACTGAAAACTTTTCCACATCATTACCTATCAGTACGGTTTTATTCAGCTCCTCAACATTTTCGAATAATTTATATATATGTGTAGTCAGCAATCGTATCTAAAAAAAATACAAAGAATATATATAATGATATGTTTGTAAACTATTTAAAATAAAACCTCAAACAGGATATACTTACAACATGGTAGGGTGAAGACACATTACTCCGTAAAGATGAGTCGATTAAAGACAGGAAGCTATAAGACAGTTTGTTTTCATACTCATATGCAGTAAGATATAAGTCCAGTATATGCAGAGCAATTAAATAATTAGGATCAGCCACACATGGAACTATTATAGGTAGGAGAACATTTATATCACAGATATCATTAACTCTTTTGCAACTTGATATATGTATACCGCATTCCAAAGCTCCGGCCAATATGAACATTACTTTTCTTGCACAACTTGATAATGCTGTAGTATCATAATTTACCTTATTGTCATTGATGTGCTTCAGATTATACATTGATAAGATATTTAATAGCTTGGTTATAAATTCACTCAGCATATTGATGCATAGATCGACATCAAGCTTTTCAACATGGGACAAACAAAATAACACATTCATAAATTGTGCGGGATCTTCAACAATATTTTCCATATCATCGGTAAATATGCTTTTCACGTGTTGAATAAAGAGGGGCAATCCTTTTCCGAAATCAATTGGGTATTTAACCCACTCAAAGAGCTTTAAGCCATTTTTAGACAATGGTGCCTTTTTTAAGCATATTTGTGTTAAAGTTGACATAGCTTCAACATCAAAACCAGACTGAACAACAAAGTTTAAATAATGTGGAAGGATGTGCATATCAAATTGTGAATAATCAATAATATTTTGAACAAAATTGATGAGTATGTTAGGGAATGGTAAAGGCAGTAATACTTTGACAAGTATGCCTGCATGTTCTTGGGAAAGAGTAATATTTGGTGAAAGAAGTAATAGCGCTCCTATAGTAGCACACACCTCAAGAACACACTCTGTAGATTGTTCACATATAACCTTTACTAGCATTACAGTAAATTGCTGAGGATTTAATAAATATTTCCCAGCATTATGTTCTATAATTTGTCCAGATAAACGAAGTATACATTCTAAAGCTTTGTTACCATCATCCTTGGATATGTCTTCTGTGTATTTAATTATGTTGTCCCAAAAGAAAAGGAACTCTTTAGGAGATATACTTTGCAAACAATCTTCTACAGTTTGCGTTAGAACTCTAAACAGAATTTCCTGATTTTCCTTGTTTTCTCTAAGCTCTTGCAATAGCAGTGGTAGGAAGGTTTCAATGCAATTATGGAATTTATTGCTTACACCCCGAATTATTTCGAATATCAGATGACCGCACCCAGTGACTGCCTGAAAGTATAGGGGGTTTAAGATTACTTTACTTTAGTTATAATATAAATCATTAAAACTTTTTCTATATACTTACATCTTCATGAATTTTCAAATAGTTAAGTAGACTATCAAGAAACTTTTTTTTATCCCGGATGTCTCTTGCAACAAAAGCAAAACTTTCTGCTGCAAAATTGTTAATGTACTGTGGTTTTGTTTCACTCAGCAAAGGAATTATTTTATTTAAAACCACACTGATATCTTTCTTTAAATGTGGCTTTAACACTTTAAATAAAAATGCTAAGCAAATTAGAGTCCATTCAAGTCTCTCTGCATCTTTGGTGTCCAATAATTTAATAAGAATATCTAAGAATTTTGGAAAATATGGGTAAAATTCATTTCTCAAATCCTTTGCTATGGATACTAGGATTCTAAAAAGAAAAGACATGTGAACATTAGAGTGATAATTATATAGTCAAAAAGTTCTTGCATTTGTTTGTAATTTTATCACACTGTTTTTATTTTTTCCTTAAATATAAAAGTAATTAGTAAAAGAGGAATAATTTTAGGAAAATTAATTGTTATTAAAATAATGATTCTTTTATGTAGGGCATGGGGTAGACATATTTCTGTCCTCTTCATGTATTATATTATGTATTTGTAATGTTGTATACATAAACGAGACAACTCTTAATACAATACCTAGGATTGAATACAAACTCAGTCTAAAATTATACTATAATATTGGTATAATAATGCTAAGAAGAAAATGCTGTCATGAACTTACTCCAATAAGGGCTGAAGACACAGGGGGTCCTCTAAAGTTAAGTATTTCTCCAACAAATTCAAAACTTCATCTTTCTTGTGAATCAACTGAGGTGTAGTAACAATACCAAATACTTCTTTTTTAAATTTCTTGAAGTTTTCAGTTAAGTTAAGGGCATGCCATTTTTGTATGGCCAAGTGGAAGTGTGTATCATTTTCTCCAGGTTGGTTCGCATAGCTGTGTTCAATATGATACAAAGCAGCATGGCGAATATTAATTGCATTGATCCGTTCCGCAAAAGGTACAAACTAGAAACAGAGTGACCATGTAAAAATATAAAAGTATCAAAAGGTATAAATATAATATACATATATATGAAATTTTGGGATAAAACATACATTTCTTTAAATAATTCTAGTAGTACACAGTATTATGTGTTTCTTGCAATAAATGACTACTGTGAAATATTTTAAATTATATATTAGAGGATAACCTTAAATAAACAAGCCGCTAGTTATATACTTACACGAAAAGTGTTTGTAGTTTTGTGTTTTACTGGCTTGCTTTTCATGGTTACTGAGAAAATTTACTCACTGTGTTTTAATATTATAAACATTGTATAATTTTCACTAAAAAGTACAAGAATCAAATTGTTACTGCTAATGTTATTCTTTATTATTTCATGATTTCAAGCAACCATGATATTATCATGTGCAATTTGCCGCACATGTTTTTGACGCTCTTGACAATTTACAACCCTACCACAGATATACCAAATATGCATCAGGTATTTAATTTTACGTAGGTATTTAATATTCACGAAATATTTAAAATAATTATTGTAATGTATTTTAAGATTTATATGTACTTTATATACTAGTGGTTATTAATTTTACAAACACGAATTTTTTTATTAATTTTAGGTAAAAAATCTCTCTGTGTCTGACTGTATGTCACTGTTATTATAATTGACACTTCACAGTTTATGTATTTTACAGAAAGTTTCACAGACCTCAGACATATTGATATTTATTAAACGGAGGTAATATAAGTGTTCACCGTATAAAGTTTTTACTCTAATCGTTTTTAAAGTAACATAATTTATTCCGTTAACACATCGTATTACTATCGGAATTTAACGTTTTTGACACATACAGTTATCAGCACGCAGGTTAGCATTTATTTTAGTGTACCGATAAATATTTGGTATTTTACTTGATTTTTATAGTTTGTGCTTTCTTGTTCAATGCTTGCTAGGGTTGTAAATTCATTGCCACACGGGCTCTCACAAAGATTAACTAGATTATATTTTAGGGGTGAGTGAACAAAACGTTCCTATATAAATAAAATTATATAAAATACGAATAGACAAAAAATACGCCCTGTTGCTTGCAGCATTAGTCTGGAATCAACGCACAAGTCATAGCAGTCAAGAACACCATCAACTAAAAACAATGGACGTGAAAATTCTTCCTGCACTTAAAGATAACTACATGTATCTTATTGTTGATAAGGCAACAAAGGAAGCTGCCATAGTAGATCCAGTTGAACCAAACACGGTATTGCAGGCTGTTCAAGACCAGGGAGTGAAACTTACAAAAGTTTTGACAACACATCACCACTGGTACCAATATATTATTTTTATGCAGTGTCTAACTAAACAACCACTTTGTTTAACTGGATTTTTAAAATAAAATAAATATTACTACAGAACTAGCCAAATTAATATATATGCATTTCTAATATAAAAAAAGTAAATTAAACTTTGATGCCTCCAGTGATGTTTAAGCAACACTAGGTACATATTTTCAATTTCTCTTAAACTGATTAGATAAATATTAGTTCCAACTACAATATAAAGAAAACATTGCTCTTAAAACCAGTTACTAACTTTTTCCTTGTTTGTATAAGAAATACAAACATTATTTTAAATACATAAAATTTTGCATGTGGAATGTGTATTAAAAATCTTTAACACACATTTACAATGTGTATAATGATTGTGCAATAGCTAAATATAACAATGGTGATAAGCTGATAAACTTTTTGTTTACATATATGTCACAGTGATAATAATTCTTTATAAATATCGTGTAAAAAGCTACTTTGAAGAAAATGTTGTATGTTTTTTATAACTATGTATCTCAAAAAGGCTTATTTTTATTACTTTTACATTTAAATATATTTTGTAACAGGGACCACGCTGGAGGAAATGAGGATTTGCTCAAAATGCAACCTGGCTTACAGGTTTATGGTGGAGATGACCGCATTGGGGCTTTGTCCCACAAAGTGGAACACAACTCTAAGTTTAATATTGGGAACTTAAATGTGCAATGTTTATTTACACCATGCCATACATCTGGCCACATTTGTTATTTTGTGAGTACACCCGAAGAAGGTAGTGATACAGCTGTTTTTACAGGTACTAAATATATAATGCTAATAACATTAAGAAGTAGCTAACTAAAATTTAATTCTTATAATTGTTTAGGTGATACACTATTTTTGGGTGGTTGTGGTAGATTCTTTGAGGGAACTGCAGAACAAATGCACAAAGCCCTTATAGATATTCTTGGAAATCTGCCTGAGCAAACTAAAGTATTTTGCGGCCATGAATATTCCGTACAGAATTTGAAATTTGCTGCTCATGTGGAACCACAAAATGAACATGTTAAAGACAAAATATCATGGTCAGAACAGAGAAGACAAGAAGGAAAACCAACAGTAAGCATAAAATATCTTTACCTTATTTATCTTTTAAGTGTTTTAAATGTTATAAACAAAAGTGCCATTAATCCATTAACTACAATATATTTACAATTTTCTAGGTGCCATCTACAATCCTCGAAGAAAAGCAATACAACCCATTTATGCGAGTTACCCAAAAATCAGTAATGCAACATGCAAAGTCATCTGATTCTATTGAAACAATGAGAGCCATTCGCCTTGAAAAGGATAATTTTAGGGGTTAAACTGTATTATTGGACAAAAATACATTTCAACACAGCCAATTGGAAGGAATAATTAATAAGAATTATCTTGGTCTTCAGTAAAGCTTGTGCATCATGTCGTTATATTTTATAGGTGGTCCTTTTTTAATTGGTATATAAAATTGTTATTTGTTAAAATTGTTTTTAAGTGATGTCTTCTTAACACATTTGTAAATAAAAGATATTAGTAAATTAATTTTATATTTATTTAAAACTTAAAGCTTATGATCACAGGGCAATAAATATTATTACCATTATTGCTCTTTCTTAATGTATGCTGACATTTCCTCAGCATACTTTTCTTTTGATCTCTCAAACATTGCAACATATATCTGAAAGAACATGTTCCATTAGTCTTCTAGTAGAAGCATGCAGCGTCAATGATTTATCTCAATAGTTTTAATAATTTTCTAAAAGGATAGGTCTCTAACAGAAAGTTATACCAAAGAAGGGAACTCCACTTTCCCCAGTTCAAATTAGATATGGTAATAATGTTATTTAATATTCTTAATTAAACAGCACTAAAAAATTTAATCACCCTCTTTTCATCATTTGTTAGTGCTCTCCACCTTGAAGCCAACTGTCTTGTGACTTCTTGTTTTGATGGTTCAGAGCCCATTTCATGTGTAGTTTCAGCAAAGACTACAGGCCTTTGTTCCTGACAAAACTGGAAGAATGCATTACAAGGCTTTTTTGGAGCATTAGGGTCTCTTTCTGGCTGTAAACAAAAATGATAAGTTTGTGTAAGGCACAAAAAAAATAAGTGTAGAGCATTTATCTAAAGAAAACAATGAACAGGTATTAATATGTATACCTTATCTGCTTTGCTTTTTCTCTTAGGTGCTGGTTTCTTACCACCTGTTGCATTATGCTTATCTGCTTGACGCGCAGATGTTTGTGGTTTATTGGCTTTAACTGTAATGTGAGGGATCTCTTGTTTCATGTCATTTTCAATAGAAGCTGTTCTGAATGAATCGCCATGTTTATCCAATCGTTCCACTAGTAATTTAAGATCCTTCTTATAGCGCTTTGATATTATCTTTACCTCGTGTATTCTAAAAAAATACAATTTTTGGCATTAATTGTGAACAAATATCACCGAGCGTAGCATCAGAAAATGCAAACCTATTCACTATTCGTTCATTATCCTGTTGTAAAACTTCACATCGTTCAAGTAACAATTGATATTTTCGCCTATATATTTCTTCTTCCGACGGTAAACTAACCATATCATCTGAGTCGTCACAATTATTCGAGGAAATCTGGTGGACTGTCATTATAAAATTATTTCACAGCGTCTAGGTTTATTTCATGCACAAAAATATCTTTGAGGTTTGTCGTTTTAGTGTCATATGTCAAAATTTAATAATGTTGGTAACACTGAAAAAATCGGTTACTCTTACCGGAAGTATATTGTAAAAAAAGTTAAAAATATATAAGCAGATATAATATAAATCTTATACTATACCAGAAAATAATGGAAAATAATTATTAAAAACAGCTGTGAATACGTTTTATCTCCTATCTATACCACTAGCGCTCCTTGCTACTTTATATTATATCTTATGAATTTAATTATTGCGAAAAGCATAAATATTGGAATTTAAATTGTTGATTGTTTTATTATAAAAACTTTATAATTATATTAGACAAAGAGGTAAATACTAAACATTTACCTCTTTTATATTGAAGTTGAGGTAACTGTGCTTAGAAACAATGGAAGCACTAAATAATAAATTCGCCGTTCGCGACTGCGCATTGTTACTTTAGTTTTCGCATTGCGGGGTGCGTTAGTTATGTTGTAACCACGACAGGTTGTAAACTATAAAGAAAAATACCTGAGTCGTTTAAAATAATAATTGTAACTAGTTATCTAATGAAAAAAATAAGTGTTACAAATGCCTACCAAAACTAGCGATGCGATGGATATCAGTTTCTTTCAAACGAACTACATATATTTATTTCACATTATTATTTCTATTATATTTATTATATGTTTTGAATACTTCTTTAGTTGATAATCAGACTGTACGTTAAATATTCTATATGATCTACATTTCTTACGGTGTATAAATAAATCATAAATCTTTTTAGACGCCCTTGCAGCTTTTTTGGAGGCACATTTTAAAATTCAAGAGCTCAATAATACGGTTGGCTACATTCTTCGGTTTAAATTTGGAAGGGAGCTATGAGTACCGTAGGCTGCATAAAAATAATCTAACACCGGTTAAAAAACTACCAGACGCTCTAATCATAGGGGTAAAGAAATGTGGGACTAGGGCTTTATTGGAATTTTTAAGGTAGTTACTAAAATACGTGCACAAAATCCACTTCTCATTTAATGTAATACTAGATATTTAAAAATATTCTTACATTTTTTTCAGACTACATCCAGATGTACGAGCCGCAGGATCTGAAGTCCATTTCTTCGATAAGTATTATCACATGGGTTTTGAATGGTACAGGTACGCGTATTCTTTGCTCCAACAACCACGAACGAACGATTTGATATATACGGAATATTATTTCAGAGACAAAATGCCCGCGACACTGGAGGGACAAATCACTATGGAAAAGACGCCATCGTACTGGGTAACAAAATCAGCACCCAAACGTGTTTATGCAATGAATCCAGCTGTAAAACTTATAGCCGTTGTGAGAGATCCTGTTACTCGTGCAATAAGTGATTATACTCAATCTGCCAGGTAATAGTTATAGGAATTTAGTATGTAAGTAATAGACGTAGTCTGGTCAGCCTAAGTAGAGAGACGGGTTGGTCAAGTAGCGCGCATTGAGATCGTGATGTCGGCAGTTTGATCCCTGGCCTTTTATCTAAAATGTCAATTAATATTTTAAAACTTTAATATTTTTTACATGTTATTGCACAAGATGGCGTTATATAAAGTATAAATGGAAGTAAGATGGTAAGAGTTTTTCGACACGGGCAGTGCTTGAACCGGCGTTCAAGACGTTACGTGCTGTGTTAAAGTTGAAATTACATAGCGTGAGAGGTGCATGTATCAACAGATTTTAAAAAATCGTATTTACAGGTAGCTCAATTGGTTAAAGCAACAGCACGGAACGCTGCGGTTGCCGGTTTTAGTACTATAACTATAATCTAAAATCGATATGTATGGAGAGAGCCAAAAATAACACATATAAGTGCTTAACGATGCTATTTTTTAAATTTTTTAACGAATGTTTCACTGAAGAGAACAATTTTTAGGCAGTAGTATCTACTTAGTAACATCTTATTACTAATATTATAATATATTTCAGTAAACGGTCAGGGCTACCCCGTTTTGAGGATTTCGTCCTGCTTAACACTTCTGCACAGTGGGGTGGCTCGTGGTCAATAGATGCATCATGGCCGCCAGTAAGACTTGGCATATACGCCCGCCCCTATCGCAGATGGTTACGAAGATTTCCCAAATCAAGACTTCTACTTATTAATGGTGAAAGATTAGTCGCTGATCCAGCCGCTGAAATGGCGAGGGTACAGGTAAACTAAATAATATACAATATTTTCGATATGTTTTCTGTTCATTAAAGATTTAATTTTAATATGGTACGCTCATAATGAACTAACAAGAAGTAGTTGGTGCAGTAGATATTATAGGTGTCGAATGTTTAATACTATCTAATTATTTATACGATTTTCCCAATATAGTTGTAATTATTATTTGAAGACATAACTAGTGAAATATGAAGGCTTATGTCCAAGGCCGCCGCCGCTGAAAACAATCAGAAATGTCAAGTTGCAGTTTAAAAACCTGTTGAAAGTTTTTTTTTTATATTTGATATAAATATAAGACAAAACATTTTGATATTGTTTATGATATTATATCTAATAATACAATAAGTATGTAAGCAATAAACTTCGTCATTTGAAAACTCACTGGATAAAAATTATCAGTAACGAGCTTATAATTTTTTTACAGGATTTTCTTGGTCTGAAGCGTGTTATAACAGATAAACATTTCTACTTCAATTCAACGAAAGGCTTTCCGTGTCTCCTGAAATCTGAAAGCAAGGCAGTACCGCACTGCCTTGGAAAAACGAAGGGAAGAAATCACCCCCAAATAAACGTATCAGTTATTAAACGACTGCGGGAGTTTTATAAACCACATAATGAAAAATTCTATCAGCTTTCTGGCATACATTTTAGATGGCCTTAAGAATTTAAGGTAACTAACTTAGTATTGAAAATCAATGTTGTTCTAACTTTCAATTGTTAATCTGATCTCTCCAACAAAACCATTGTGTTTCCTACACTCTGGTGAAAAACGATGGTAACCGACATCAATCCTAGAAACAACATTTTGATTGAATATGTCATTGAGATCTTTATAACCTTCTACCTATCTATGTCCGACACTCAACAACTAGAATTTCTGAAAAGCTGTAATTATAATAGAAACAATGTTATGGTAGACAGGTTATGGAGGTACAGACAGTATTTAATATTATGGTAGGCTGTACAAGAATACATTTCAGATATCTTTGTTTAATATATAGAGCCTTAAGTTATCAGTTTAGGCTATCGAAACACAATGACGTCCATATTTGCGTTTATTTGATAGGATCTAGCGTAGTGAAAATAAATCGTGAATTTTAATAAGTAGATAATGTAATGGTAGTACTGATCATAATAGCATACACCATAATTATGTTTGGTTGTGATTACTTTTCACTTTTACCCTAGGTAAGCCTTAATGATGCAACATTTAAAATTCGGCTGACAATGGTCGATTGTGGTGATTATCAATTACATAAATAATATAAAATCACGCAATGTGTAGCCTAAATCGTAAGACATAACACATTGTATGGTTAAATATAAAAAAAATTAAAGGACTGCAGTAAATTAGTCCACATTTAGGCATCTACCTACCTATAGTTCCTAAGCTAATTACCCTATAAAAAATTTACTTTTTCAATTTTATGTCTGAAAATTGTAAATATCGAATTAATACATCATTATAAACATCAGTACCTATATTATTCTTTTATCACAAAGTTCCTACGTTATAATTAAAATATTGCACAAAAATACCTATACAGATTAGGCATAACACGTAAGGATTTTTTGATCCTACCGTTCTTATAATTAAGAGAATGAACAAATGGTTGTGTATAAAAACGAATACGATTAGCAAAGGTATGTCTAGTGTAACGTAAAATAAATTAAGATTTTAATAAAAAGACAATAAAATAAGATGAACTTTTATTTCCCTCCGTATTTTGGTTAACACTAAAAATACGGTATAAATATATATCTATTATATTACATTGTTTTCACTGTATGTTATATATCTCTAGACGATTAATATTTATAAGAGTTTATTAAATTAACGCAAAATATATAACAATATATTTTCGAGAAGCATACCATAAATAATTTACTGAAACCTCATCAGAATTCCAACAAGTCTCCATTGTAGCTAAATAACTTTAACATACAAATCTAAATCTACACATGTATATACACTGATAACAATAATCTTTTTTATTAGAATTATTAAGATACTAGTTCAAGTATTAGTTTCAATATATAAACCTCTTAGTATATATAATATGGAACCAGAATAATATGTTCATTAGTGTTAGTGTAGTATATATCAAATTGTTGTTCTGACGTCTCAACATTACTATGGTTTTGTTTTAAAAAATGCACCTAATTAACATTGTATAAGGATGATTTCACATCGCACAGGACTATTTAGAGGTTCCATTAAGGAAAATAATTCTTTTCCAATTCGATGTTTAAATAAATTTATTTATGCCCAAATAATAGACCTACCAATTATAATTTCTTTTCATTGTGGCACTATATGTGAGTACAATATTTTCTTTAGATTAACATGATGGACCAAATATCAATGGTGTCTCTATTGGTTTCACTTGTAAGTAGGATACAGAGCTAACACTCACTAAAGCAAAAACTATTTGTACATCATCACGATATTGAGAGTTGATAGCTGCAACTTCTAAGGCACTTGGTAACTTCAATGATTCGCTGAAAAGTTATATTACACTTTATAAAAGGTTTTTAAACAAATATTAAGGTATTTTCAAATCAGTAACAAATTTGAAATTTTTAGCAATTTTATAAATATACTTACTCTAAACAAATAACTCGAAAATGAGGTTTAGGAGGTTGCCTTTTGCTAAACTTTTCAACATCCCTATTATAGACATCAAAATCTATTTGTAATGTATGTTTAGCATCAATATCAGAAGTTGTATTGATTATCTTCAATTTTTGAAGCAATTTTTCCGTATTTCCGCAATCATCGGGTATAATTAAGCAGTCTTTATCAAAATTATTTCGAAAGTATGTCATTTCATGACTAAATTCTGTAATTGTTTCTTGAAGATTCTCTATAAAAGCTATCTTTAACTCCAGCCAATTATTAAATAGATTAGGCCTATACTTTACGTAGTCGTAAAGGAGATTAGTTTTCCTTTCATCAAATAGGGGATCATAGATATACTTCTTTGGAATCACGGGTCTGCCAAAATCATTTTCGGGTGGAAGCCAATTTCCCGTAACTAAAGTGTCAGTACTTTCATTAAAACTCATATCATCCAAGTCACTATTACCTTCGTAAGAACAGCAGGTGCTATCTTGTTTTTCGGAAAGTCTTTTAAGGATATTAAAGGGATTTCTTAATTTTTTCCTTTTGCCATATTTTTTTAATGGTGCTGTTAGTGGCGCTTTTTGCACTATACATTCAGTGTCAGATGAGGAATCTAGAGTTATCTGTCTCCTATCTAATATTTCATACTTAGTGTTTAGATTATAATCAACATTAAAACATTTGTTGAATGTTTTAAGTAATTTGGAAAAAGCCCGTCTGTGCCTAGCGCTTGCTTTTCCAGTTGCTTCTAGATTCTGTAACTCAAACGCCACTTGTTTAAGAGAATTCAGTCTTTCTTCAAAAGCATCTTCTAATTTTTGTTTTTTAGTTTGTGGCTCATCATCTTCTAATTCAATTGTTTCCACTATGCTGGCTTCATCCAGAATCTCAAAATTAGGACTTAGCTTTATATTTCTTTTATATCTTAAATTATATGTACCGATTAGACCTTCAAGGGCTTGAATGTTAAATGTATTTGCATTGCCCTTCATACAGAGTGTTCTTAATCTTAATGCCAAATCTTTTATTTTCTCCAGATGAATGTTTTCATTTGACAGAGATTGAAACCTATTTTTACTAATACCAAATGGATTAGGACGTCCAAATGGTTTCTCATAAATTTGAGGTCCAAAACTTTGAAATGGAGATGGAAAATATACTTGGTGAAGTGTGTTTTTGAAAAACATATTGAAATTTATGTAATTCAAATGATGGGGTCTGGAAAAAAATGAAGTTCGATTATTTTGAGACTGATTTGTATTTTCTTGGCTGTTATTATTAAACCGTAACCGTTTAATGTGGCTACCATTTACTTCGTCACTGACACTGTATGTCCATGATTTTGGTGTTTCACTTTTTTTTGGAATGTCTTGTAAATTCAGTGTATATGTTTGTTTGAGCTGTATGGTATTTGGCAGAAATCTTGAATCTTGTGCTTTAATAGTAATGACATCATTTTCCAAAAAATTAGGTAAGCTGTCAAAGTAACTATTAACCATTAGTATATTCTGTTTGCTTTTCCTTTTTCTTAATTTAATTAGCTTAATTTGATAACTGTTTGAAACATTGTTGTATTTTTCATTTTTTTTTGTTATACTTTCTTGCACATGTAATTGCATAGTGCCTTTTGAATTTTCTGTAATCTCTTTGTTTACTGCCTCTTGGTTTTGCTTTTCTGTGGATGTATTTAAATTTTGAATCTCATGAAGCTTATCAGTGTTTTCTTCATTACTCATGGTGTTATTGCATGCTATTTCTACATCAAAATTTAAAGAAGTACAATTGCTTTCAATCTCTTTGCTTGATATAGCCTCCGTGGGAGTTATGTCAAAACTCTTGTGCCTAAAAACTTTGTATCCAATTCTGCTGAGTGAGGCATAAACCTTATATTTAATTAAATTAATTTCTCCTTTAAGAAGTAAGGAGTATGCTTGTTGTAGCGACACTTTAACTCCACCATAATTTAACAGTAAACAATTCTAAAAAAAGACAATAGATTAAAATTAAAAATGAAAATGTTATACATAAATATTAATGATGGAAAGTAGTAACATACAGTTTCCATCAAGAACAAAGCTTCTTCGGGTTGGATATAGAGGATTTTCCCCACATTATGACCCAAATATTGCCAATGACCTCCAACTTTATGTGTCACTTCAGCCAAATTGAGTTCTTCTTTCCAATGAGCTTGACTTAGCGTTGAACTTTAAGAATAAATGCATATTTATTCAACATCAATTCTGTTTTCAAAGTAAGGTTTAAATTTATAAACAATTTAAAAACGAATAAAATTGTACCTTTTTTCAATTCGTTCCACTCCTATCAAATGTTTCTTGGTTTCCAAAGCAGCCTGCACCTGTTTTTGTTCCAACCAGGACCCATTAGAAAATACACTTTTAAAGCCGGCTTCTGGTAAATTTACTTCAAAGTGAGTTACGCCTCTCTTAACCAGTTCCTCGCCACTAAAATTCGTATTGGTATTAATATAATTACAATTTTTATGTAATAAAATTTGCCTAAAATATTTACTGACCTCAACATATCTCACAATGTTTTGGATTCTGGTATATTGAAATTTTATATGGGCGAAAATGTAACAGGAAGATATATTTTCAACTTAAATGTGGTGTAAAAACTATGATATAATTAATGAAAGTATTGTGCTTCATACCACAGAATCGTAAAGAATTTATATATAACAGATCAAATTTATAAGTAGTTTTACATAAAATAGCCCTTAGTAAATTGGATAGGTTTGAATTAGATCTTAGTCTTACTCTCATAACTCCTAGGATTAGATTTACTGAGTTTGACAGTTAGGATTTTGACATCTTGTTTTGGTAAATACTCAATGATGACAGATATAAACAAATAAATTACACATTCTTATCTAAATAAGTAAAGTCATTGTAAGTAAGCAAATTTGTTTAATCCATATTTACATGCAAAAAGGATTATTATTTTAACTTGGATTTTTTAATAACAATATAAAACATCATCTTAACAACATTTGCACTTTACAGTACTGGTTGTTTCTGACAGATGTCTCTCTGCTTGATTTAGAATATCACTAAACATATTATCAAATAGTTGAATTGTTTTATTATTATTATTATAATATTTTATGGCACAAAAATTAAGCATATAGTAATTTGTTGTTTAATTGTTGCGATTTAGTAACGATAGTAAATACGATAATACGTATCGATTTGGTATTTTTTGTCATACCATATAAACTTAACGTTATAATTATGACATACCTATTCTATCCTATAAAAGTTTATAATATTTTTGCAGACGAAGTATTTGAAAACTTTATTATTTTTTACATATTATTGCACATGAAGGCACTATATAATTTAAAAATCGAAAATAAATTGAAAAAAAAAAACACGACTCGGTAGCTCAATTGGTAGAGCAACAGCACGGAACGCTGACGATGCCGGTTCAAGTCCTGCCCGAGTCCAAAATTTTTTCAACTTATTTTCGATTTTCAAATTCGACGAAGTATTTATAACAAGTATAAATATCTGTAACGAGTATGAGCAGGCTGGTTACTCAATTGTAACCGCTCAAAATATTTTGTAGGATCGTAGTGGTAGAGCGTAGAGCACGCGCGTCGTAGCTGTTGTAACTTACTACCTAGATATTATCATAACGTAGCGTAGCAAGTTTGTAGCATGCCTGAGTATCGATTAGTCGCGCAGACCAAACCGAAGGGCCACGAGTCGACACGACGCTAGCCGAAGCGTACCGATCCTAGCCCATACATAGCGGAAGTAATGAAATGTACAGAAAGTTATGAAGCGGAAAAATTGCCGCTTTCCTTTTTCCCTGCGTCACGTCTTGAAAGGGTTTTCTTTAGGGTATATATCAAGTAAAATGTATAATGTTTTAACTCTTATCACGATAGTTGAACAATTCGTCTTCATAGATAATGTTTAAATAAGGTTATAATGCTGATTTTTATTAAGTTCTATCTCTATTTTTAATAAAAAAAACTAGGCTGGTTACGTTGCCTCGATATTTTGCGATATCTTCTACTTTTGTTATTGTAGGCTTATAATTTTTGAGTTTCTATTTGCAACTGCAGCTTAAGAGGGCGAGACGATTTAGCGTATTGTAATACGAGTTTATAAGAGGTGCCGCCCCCCTCGTCTTTATGCTTACGACCATAGCTCAAAGCTTCAAAGAATACGATAGTCGTCCCTTAACGCACGCTAAAGCCGGCCGGCATCGATTCAATCGTTGGTTACTCGTGGAATTTCAAATTTCGTTAGTATCATTTGTGTTGCCGGCAACGTGGATCAATGGGGGATGGGTTACACCCCGTAGTACGGTTTTATTTATGCTATATTTTGACGTGCGCTTTCGTTGCTAACTTCAAGGCGTGTAGATAATAGGGTGATGAATTGTGTTATCGGTTACTAGTAGTATCTATACTGTGAAAAGTGCGACTGTTTTCAGATTTACGGGTAGTTACTTCAAAATAATTAATGAAAAATTGCAATTGGCTGTGTAGATCTACTTTTAATGAGACACGGCCGGCAGAACAGTGTTTGTTTTAGTGCCAAGGTTTTTTAATAATAAACTGAACATGGTGAAGTGAATCCCAAATTCTAAACACACAATTACATCTTCCGTCTTTCAGTGCAGACGTTGTCTTAAGGTAAGTCTAGTAAATACTATAGTTTTAAAATAGCATAATAATCTGAAACTGATTGTAAATATGACTTAAGACTTCCTTATTATAGAAATTACTATAATTTGTGATGAAAATAAAAACATTTTCAATAATATTACAATTTAAATACTTGCTATTAAAATTATAATATAGCTGCATGTAAACAAAAATTATACGTTTGATATCAGCGCCCCCTAGTGTTACTTACTGTAATTACGAGAAGAGTTTATTATAAACGGCACATAACAGCGCCAAAGTGTTAGCCGGCGACACGCCTGCAGTCACGCGGCGTTAACGCGCGTCGTAACATCGTTGCGTGGGTGTAGATTGTAATGTGATAAACTATTCTTGTGTTTTCTTCCTTATCATAATTATAGTTATGATGTTATTATAACTATAATCATGCTATATATGTTGTGACCTTTTGCCATTCATCAAGTTCATAAAACAAAGTGCATAGTGGAATATAAGTGGCCTGTGTGTGTTTTGTTGTTGACTCGACTGCGACCCTTCGAGGACAGGATTTTGGTGGTGCAGCAGTAGTCTAGAGTCGGCATGAGAAAAATAAACGGTACGTGTTTGTTGCTAACAGAAATATTGCTGTATTTCACACTCCAAAAAACATACATAGTTTACTTTTTGATAAGAACTCGTGTGAAAACTGACCGGGTCGTGGCCGAAGATAAAGCGTAACAAGTACATACTATCTTTATCATCATAGCATTTTATAATCTGTATATACTTAACATAAAGAACCGGTATTTTGTTAAGTTTCATTCGAACATTATATTCACAAATATGACCATATTAATAATACGTTTATGTGGAAGCCATCTTTTGCTAAAGAACTATTAACCTTACTGATTTATTTATTATAATATTATGTGATATAATTTATAGAAAATGAATTGCTAACAGCAGAAACTGTACTAGTTTTTACAGTATGCAGACGCGCGAATGACGAACAAAAGAAGCCGTTTGTTGAAGGGGGGTGTCTAATGTCTACGAAAAGTCGTTCTTGCAAGATTTTTACGGCTTTTAACAGACAAATATTTTATTAATCCGATTGTTAACAAAAAAAAATCTATTTTAAAGTTGCCCATGTATACAAGTAGTTTTGTACATTAAACGGTTCGTGTCATCGATTATTTTAATCTAAAATACATTTTTAATTTAAATGATATTGCCATTTATACAATAATATGTGAAAATAACTTTTATTATCATTTTTTAGGGACTCCGACAGAAGGCCATATCGTCTGTCGACCATTTCGCCCATGATAATAACTTAATTTTCTGACAAAAAAAGCCGATGTTACATTTTGTTTAAAAACTACATTTTATAATAGAGTAAGTAGAGAGTGAATACTAAGACCCTAAAACAACATCTAACTTTTTATCTTGAAAATGTTACGTTCCCTCGGGTGTTAGGAAAAGATTTTTTTAACTTCTATAGTTTCACGATTTAATGTATTTTATAGAAATAAATTATTGATTCATTCGATAAATTGCAATTGAATTGAAGTTGCATAAATAAATTCCAATGTTTCGCGCTGATTTTTAAATGCCAGACCAACTTATAAAATTCGCACTCATGATTTTTTTTCTATCAGAACTTTATCATATGATGCAACAAAAATTTATTATCCTTTCGTCTCGAGCGACAGAAATCATTAACCGTAGCAGATCTCATACAAATGGCCTATAAAAATAATCCAACACCATTTGATGGGTCGAACTAAGAAGTTAGTTACGAAACAGCCTAGTTCCAGGTCAAAGACTTAACATAATAATAATATCAATCAGAGAATTACCGTTTCCTGCTGGGCATGGGACGAACACAATACTGTGTCTGTTTTATAAAATCGTTTTTAATTATGTTATTCTCTAGTCAATATTTATCACGAAACATAAAACCAAACATTTGGCATTGCGACTTTTTGTAGTAACTGCGTTAATATGCAAGCTAAATTTAAAATTTAAATGTATTCAAGTAGCTGCTTTAGTACTGGTTCCTAGTTTTGTTTTGCGAGACAAAGCACACGATAATATTAATAACGTCTTAATTAAAAAATACAATAAAGATAATACTTATCAATACAGTATTCCTTTTAGTAAATCAAAACTTGAGAGTTCGTTGATCGAGCCATGCCATGCAAGAGGCAAGAAAAATCAAATAAACAAACGCTTTCATCTCCGGTTTGTCGGCAATGCACTTCGTATCCTTGCACTTAACACTGTTAATTTGTCTCAACCCTCTTTAGCTTCTAAAGTCTGGTGCATCATCATGTGTTGGTGTTGGATTTTTTGGAGTGGGATAAATTGTAATCTTTTTAGTCTTCACCTTACAGTATCTAGAATTCTTCAATAAATAGACAAGATGAACAAACAAGTAATAATTCTAAAAACAGGTCTATATGAAGGCTGCCAGAGCCAGAGTAGCCTTATTACAAAAAACATTATTTTGAATAAGGAGGAAAATAAAAATGCGTAATTAACTCAGACGAAAATTATTTTCGTTATTTTTAGTTAGATTAGTTTGATGTGTAAGAATTATGTTAACAATTTCCGGTCACTGTGCTCTTGTAGATTAACATTTTTAGATTATAAAAATATAAATACCTCAAGTCTTAAAAATTGCAGTTAGGCTACTATGGCTCTAGCGGCCTCATATGTATTACCATTTACCGATGACCTTCGCTATATAATCTAAATTATAGTATGACGTAGTAATAGTATAGTATACTTGTAAACTCTTTTGTTTTTTATTATTATTTAATTTATTACTCTCTAACGTTTGGAGTAAAAATATACGTTGATTATTTATTATTACTTATTAGAACACTGAACGCCTTTT